TTCATTGAAATCCACCTGCTCATGTGTGTTTAAAACATACATTGGTTGATGTAAATTTTACATATTTCAGTTAATAAATCTTTGTGATTCTTAACAGGTTTTACTGCAGCTTTAATGGAGCGTTTAATTCTTTACTGATTCTTGGCTATTCATTTTGAATGCAGTGTATCGAATAGCCCTTGTTTTCCACCGTCTCAGAACGAATCTATGTGATAAAAAATGATCGAATAAACTTTTATCAACTTATTAAAGATTCAATAATTAGAGAAAGTCAATCCTAATGGTAATATGATTTTTATGTTGATTGTTATTGAGCTGATGACATTGTTTCTTGAACGTCCCTAGTATAAAACAGACATTAGTTGCTGTCATATTCACATATTTCAGGGAATATTTCTGTAGAATTCATAACAAGTTTTCAGAGCTTTCATGAAGCGTTTAATTCCGCTCTTGTTCACTGATTCTTTACCATTCATTAATGATGCAGTGTATCGAATATCCCTTGTTTTCCAGCTTCTCACAAGGAAACTGTGTGATGAAAAGTGGTCAAATAAACTGTAATCAATTCACTAAAGATTTATTTATGACAGAAAGTCAAACTAAATGTCATTTTATTTCTATATTGTATGTCATAGAGCTCAGGAAATTATATATTGAAAAACCCTCGTATAAGAAAATAAATATAATTAAAAAAATCTTCTGAAGAACCACTGCACCATAAAAGCTAAAACTTACGTTAAAGCATCCTGGGGTAGAGTAGATTCTAAATTGTTCACATCATAACTTCCACAGGTAGGGCGGGGCCACAATAGAATAGAATCCAAGTTTTACATGGAAATATATACGCAGCACAGTTAAGGTTACAGAAAAGAGGCGGGGCCTAAAATTTACGGGAAATGTTTACTATGACGTCACACATAATATAAGGTCTTAAAAATACCACAAAATTAAATCATTTGCTATTTCAAACAGCTGGGTAGCTGTATACTACATACAAAATATTACATGCACTTATGTCATTTGTTAAATCCCACACATCAGTATACATGTATAAACGATGTATCGATCACAATGCACTCGTCAATGTGACGTCATCTCGCAAAAATGACTCGTTTGTTCACAGTGAGAGGCTGATCAAGTAACATTTTGTACAATGAAAATTTCTTTTGTTTTCAAATGAAATATTATTTGCAGTTAAATAAAAGGCCCTTAACTTGAATACGATGGATATTTTAGCATTTTATTTTCAAACTCTCCATACATCCCCCAGATAAGTGATACTGTTGTGTGTTTATATTCAGATTCATTGGAAAAGTAATGAAAGGGTCCTAATAAATCGATTTATTGCAAGGGCATGCCGTTAATGTATCTTTTTTAAGTTTTTACACTTAAGATATTTGAAAAGTGCTGCGAACCTCATGGAATCATGCAAATAAATTAATTATAGCTATATTTAATGTAATTGACCAGCAAAATATTCAACCTGTCGCCCAACAAATTAAATTTTAGCAATTAAATTAGGGAATCTATAGGGTCTATAGGTTCGCAGCTCTTTTCACAAACTACATATAGTGTTGAAAAGGATTTTAGATTAAACTAAGATTTTTAACTTGGTTTTGCCCTTGCAATATTGGAATTTAAAGATGACTTCTAAACTGCAAGTATAATTGCTTAAATCATGTTACGTCGACATTACGTGGCAAGTCTAAATAAAAAAATCTAAATGTCCCCAACATGTAGATTTATACCACATTGCATTTTTGATAAATTGACGTCCAAAAAAGAAACTCCCATTGTAATAAAGTATGTATTTTTTTATCTTAAAGAATCGCCGATATTTCCATTTGTAACCTTAACTATGCTGCGTAGGAAAAAAACTTTAGATATCTTCTCAAGAACCACTGAGCCAGAAAAGCTGAAACGTATATGGAAGTATCCTGGTGTAGTGCTGACTCTGAATTGTTCAAATCATGACCCCTGAGGGTAAAGCAGGACCACAATAGAGTATCCAAGTTCACACTGAAGAATATGGGGAAAACTTTACAAATCTTCTACTCAAGAATAGCTGGACAAAAAAACCCTGAAACTTATGTGAAGGCATCCTGTTGTAGTACAGATTGTAACTTGTTCGAATCATGATTATTTTAGGAATGTCAAGGACAAGATAGTTCTACAAAAGGATGATCTGTTAAATGACAGAATAGCCAACGTTAAGTACTCAGGTGAGTGATATAGCCCATGGGCCTCTTGTTAATTATAAGTTCCACAATAATGGGATTTGATATGAAAAGATGTATTGATTAATAAGGATGGTTGCAGAAAGGTAAAATTTTGAACATTTTAGATTTCGCATTTCTTATTATCTAGATTTTTTGCTCACTTTCCAACAATAAACCCCCCAAAATATATTCATATTCAGGCATCCATTATTTTGTTTGTATCATCTGTTAAATCTACAAAAATTGCATGGCAAAGAGAAACAAAAATACTATTATTAAAATTGCAAAACATCTAAATTGTAAAAGAAAATACGACAATATAATGTCTAGAAGAAAAAGTGCATAATGTCTTCAAAACTACACGTATTTATCACAAGTATAATTAGAATGTGCATTCCACATGTTGTAGTTATTTCTATTTTAGTAAGCTTAATATTCAATACAAGCCGAACAATTAATACTTTTGACAACACTATAATAGACTCAATGGAGATATTGATATTTCTTGAGTAAATGAATAAATACATGATCAATACATTAAAAGTAAATAGGAATTTATTTTATACAATCTACAAAGTTGACCTCAGAACATTTCTAATATGAACGACCTTTTTTTTTTTTTTTTTTTTTTTTTTTAACATATAAATATATGATTCAAATTTGAATCTTAAAGGCATAAAGCGTACATAAGCAAGGATAGAACGGAATAAAATTATATATTTTTAAGGTCCTATAAATAGGAATACTAAGTAAGTATTCGATTCAACCGAAGAACGAAAAAAGGAAACAAGGTATGTGTAAGCGATTATTCAATATTTTGAAAATATATTTTTTAAATAAAAAAGATAAAAAGTTTAATTTTTATATTGTATTACAACCTTGTTGATATTTATTATAGAGTACATTCGAAACCATATTATAGAAAAAAAGAAAATATTAAATTACTTTTTTAGACTTGAAGCAGCATTTTCAAAAGAGGGGTTGGTGTGTGTGAGGGTGTGTGAGGGGGGGGGGGGTCCCAAAATGATCTAATAAGCAAAAAGAGAATAATTTTCCAAATACTTGACATTGTCAGAGCACAATCTTATATTTTACTCCTCGATCTTACTACGGGTATGTCATCTTCAATTGAAACATAATTTCAGCAAATATTAAATTTTTTTTGTTGATGAAAATAGTGTTTTTCATGATTTCTTGTAAATCTGGGGTCTATTTCCATGCATACTTTGGATTTAGAGAAACAATATGCATTACTACTAAACTCATATTTAAGATTTGTTTGAAATGTTTATGCTGCAATGTCACGTCTTAACAAAGATGAAAGCAACGGGACTAACGATGATAATAACAGGAGTTACGCAACAGAAGGTTGCACTGCATTTAGTGTACATCAGTCTGCTTTGCAGCGGTTGAATGTACGTCTCCAAATGCGACAGCAAGGAACACGGATGACAGACCAAGAACTGGTCGACCGCGGGTTGCCACATCCAGACAGGGCAGTCAGATCCCCCTTCAGCAATCAATTCAGAACTGTTGTACAAACTACTGATATAATTGCTGGTCGAAGAAATCAGCACGAAAGGGCATAAATTGTTCGCAAGAGACTGAAAGAAGCTGTTATTCGTCCAAGACATCCGTACATTGAAAACCCACTAGCGCTGATACGTTAGAAAGGACATATCGATTGGTTTTCCCTTAGACTTTTGAGGGCAATAAAAATTATATTAATTGAACTTTTCAATTTACAACATACGACATGTTTGCTTTTTTCACAACATACTCTAAAACCAGTTTTATGAAAATAAGGTTTAAACTGGAAATTAACTTACATTATCATGTTTGATCTGAATATATATATATTTTTTTAGTATATAAAGAACTTTATTCGGTAATAACCAATATTTGCCCCCCAAAATCAAACTTTGACAAAGAAATAATTAATAATGTTCTTTAAAAGGGTATATATGCTGACTTCAAAACACTGAATATTTTGATTAGCAATGACGTACTATGTTTGCAATGACGTCACGAAAATGACGTAAATTTAAAATTTCCATGATTTGTACAGAAAAATGTATATTTTACATCGATATTTTGATTAAAAATCACCGAGCACAGATTTGATCAGGCTTAATATTTTGATATTATGTGTAGAATGATAATATCAATGAAATATTGTTCCTGAAAAAAACTTGTGCTCTATAAATTTTAAAGCTAAAATTTTTGAAATTTTGTCCATTTTGTCCTCTTTCTTAAAAATGACAAAAAAATCGAACTAGTTTGTGACGTCACAAAAACAAAAATTCTCAATAAACTACTTTGAAACTATAATATGATCTGTTAATTTATATTTCTTATACAATTTATAAGATTCAGCAAATATCAAGAATTTTTCAAAATTTGACTTTTGTGGGAGCAAATATATGCAATATACCGCATATAGTTCTTTTAAAAATTATTATTTATGTATTCAAACCATATTTTCTAATGATATTAGCTAACGAATTATTATAAAATTAAAAATCTAAGCGACTCCCCCCTCCCCACCGTAGAAATATTATAGATTACGTGCAAGTAGCTATTTGTACGTTAATATGTCAAGTCAAAAGCAGAGATGGTTACTTTAACGCATTGAAAAGGGATTTAAATCTATCAATTCTGCTAAGCATATTTCAACTACGTTCCTTCCTCCTCCCTTTTCTAATCCAAGTTGTTTTATAAACATCAACATTAGCTTTTTGCACTGTCAGTCCAAAGAGTTGAACTCTCTATATATGAGCATCATGAGAAAATGTATTTAAATCTCTCAAATCCAGATTGCGCACAAGTTTTTCGCTCCCTTTTCCTACCAGTTGTTTTCGAAAAATCATCTTTAACTTTTTGTACAGTCTTTTGAAAGCTTTCCACACTCTTATCAATTTGAAGAAATGTTTTGAATTCATTCAGCATCTTTATTCTTTTTTCATACCCTACTTGCTTTTTAGTTTCTTCAGCTTGTATCATTTGGTCAATTTCTTCAACAGCTGAAAAAAGACCAGGTCTTAAAGCAATTTCTTTCAACCTATTTTTGCACAACTCCATTTCATTCATCATTTCTCTTGTCGAATCAAAAAGACTATCTATGTCATCTTCAATTTCCTTTAGATATTTTTCATTTGTCATTTTCTCTCCTATTGCCCTTTCGTAACGTTCTTTCTTTTCTCGATAAGTTTCTATTTTTTTCTCGGTAACATATTTAAAAATATATTTTCCGTTTTTGTGCTGTTTCCAGTGGCACTTGCCGCTACAGACCTTGCAATTACCTTTAGAATCCATTGCAGAGCAACGAATTTTCTGGTCATCATCGGCAAATTCACAATTATCATGGCAAGACATGTTACAAATGAGACAATTGGTAACATGCTGCCCTGGGGGCAGATCAAGCTTTATCTGCTTTGTATATTCTGCTTCATATGTAAAATCCCGGTTACTTTCGATTTCATTCAGATGCTTTTTGAAAAGCGTTAATGTATTTTGTAATTCATTAATTTTTGATAGACCTGCTTTAACCTTGGGTTCAACATTTGCTAAAATAGCCTGCAGGTGCTCCCTTTGTTTAAGAACTTCTTTGGTTAACACAAGGCTCTTTGGTGTAAATAATTTCAGGTTTTGAAAGAAATCTTGAAGACTTTTATAACACAACTCCCAAAAATTAGGGGAAAGAGAAGCGTTTTGCAAATTCTTATTGCTTGCGAATAAAGCAGAATTATTGAAAGGAAACCAGAACCGAAAGGGTAGATCGGCTGCTTTTAGACAGGAGAGAACTGGAGGCTCTGCTCCGTCGGAAAATGTTATCAGTGTACAAATATTTGATTCAATATCTTTTCCAAGAAGAGACATTATCGAATAAAATATATTTGTCTGGGTAGCTGTAAGACGCGTGTCAGGGGCTTTGACAATAAAACAAACAGCATCTATGAATGATACGCCTTGTTTGCCTTCAGTTGAAAATAAATGACTTATTTGATCAACAATTGCCTTGTTCTTCTGGATTTTACGTGTATCTCCGAATCCTGGTATGTCTATGATGTTGAGAGTGTAGTCCAACCGACTTCCTTCTTGTGGGTCGATCTTGTATATGGTGATCCATTCTGCTGGACACTCTGCCTACGTAAGAATAATAACAACTATAAATACACATTCAATTATCTTTTTTCGTTTATAATATTTACCCTCAACATTAAACTTCTGTTATTTGTTTAAGGAACTCCTAATCATCTCCACACGTGAAAAGAGTATGCCTCACAAGAAGACATTAAATAACATCTGTGATTTTGTTGCTTAGTTGTTTTAGCCAGCAGAATTAATGACGTTTTATTATAAAAATCAGACAGTTCAGTAATATCTTTTTGCTACATGTATGTAATTTATTAAATTACACTTACTGGCAACTGCTAAAAAGAACTTCAATTACAAAGTACCCAAATTACTTAATAATAAGTGATTCTTCACACGCAATCACATTTACTTATTTCATTGACCAAATCTCTACTAATGAATAAGAATATCTACGTGATTTTCAGTCTTTTTTTCTTCATGATCTACTTTGACCAGGGTGAATCGGAAAGGGTCTTCAAAACTGACACCCAATATATAATTCATAAAACTGTCCACCAGTGTGCTCTTTCCCGATCCTTTCTCACCAACAAGCATAATTGTTCTTTCATATTCAATTCCAATTGAAGGGTTTCCTAATCAATGAAATGTTTTAATTAGTACAAGAAAAAAGAAAAATAACAACATCAATATTGTGTTATCATGAAACTTGGTTATTGTGAATATACCTAAAGTAAGATGCCTTGTCTTTGCACGGAGATTACAGGCCTCTCTATTTTCCTCGGCTACTAATTGGTACATTACGGGATCCGTACTTTTAATTTTGATAGAAAAACGTAGCATTTTTGTTGCTAAGGATCTGAGTGTATTGATGGGATCACTTTGTTCACTGTAAACTCCTTCCACGTCATTGGCAACACTTCTGACTTGGAATACATATGGGGTATTTGCCATAAGCCCACTTACAGTAAATCTGTTCGTTGTGTCATTTGTACTGCAAAACTTCCATTTATCATTTATGTTTAGACTTTTATATCTTATTTGATAATAATCTATTTCCTCCTCTAAAGTCTCCCAATACAGCTCCACAGAATCAGACTTCACATACAATACACATGGTTTACCCCGTATCTAGAATAAGATAAAAAGAATCATTCGAGTTTGCAATTTACCTCGATTTTTAAATTTTAAATAAAATATCTTTCTTCCGCTTCTAACACTTTATTTTGATTGGATGAATGATACACTATATCGTAAAATTTGGGTTGCCAAATAATTGCGTCAAAAACGTCTCAAACCACATGATGTCACGTTTAAATTTTGTAAAATTTAAGCTTCTTTTAAGGACAGTCAACTTTTCCATCACGATTAATGAGTAAATATGAAATTATAAAGAATCAATTTAATAAAATAATAGCCGTACGGTTTATAATTGTGTTATAACGTGCACAAATTGGAATAATAACGGATTATTACATTTTGCTTGATTACATTTTGCGTCGAATTCAAAATAGATTACAATAAAGCAAAATGTAACAACATAATTTTGAAGATTATTTAATTTTGCGTAATTACATTTTGCGTCGAGATCAATACAAAATGTAGTAATGCGAAATATAAAAATTCGATTTTTGGATTACTACATTTTTTATTGCTAAATTTTGTGTTGAGATTAAGCAAAGGCCAGACTGAATACAATTTTCTATAGAGTAGTGGCAGGAGAAAGGATAATGAAACAAAAGGAAAAATGGATTGATGCAGATTACAATAAATCAAAGCTACACGTATTTAAAATGAGCTTAATATTCAACTATATGCGTTGCAAATTAGAAACGTGCGTGCCGGGGCGAGGTTGCTGTTGGAGGGGGGTGTTAATTCTATTGACCAGTGTACGTTTGCATTTTGATAGACACATGCAATAAATAAAAAAAAGAAAGACTATTCATTTGTATAGGCGGGAGTTAATATATTGCTGGAAGAGTGTTTAGTGACAATTATGATTCCATACTGTTCTAAACAAATTTCTCTCGATCTCTTTCGTTCACTCCAATGATAAAATGGATTCTGCATATTCATAGTTATACAATGATCAACATATGAAGAAAACACCCAACCAAATGACCGCCCTCCTTGCTAGACATACACAAACATCTCCAATTTGCTAAGCAGTGTATACTTGCCGAGCATGCATTTCAATAGCTTATAATGAACTTATAGTCAAACTTTTGTAATTAGAAATGTTATTGGTCGGAAATCTCTATAGACTGATTTGTTTGAAAATGTCAATCACAATTTAATTAATGTTTTATAATTAAGTACGATGTAATAAATAAAAGTCAGAGTTAAATATGATACATTTAGATTAAGTTATGTAGGTAAATTTAGCCTCATTGTCATAGTTCTAAATATTTTGTAAAGCTTTCTTCCCACATGTTAACAAGTATTTATCTCAAAGGATTGGATGAAACTACCCATGGGATAAATCTATGCTTTATCCACGGGTAGGTACTTAATCAATAGCACCTCCGGTTTTGACACGATCCCTCCTAGACGCCTCATGATTCAAATTTACCAATACATGTTCTTGAATTGGTAAAAATTCTTGCTATTGCCTTATAAAATTAATAATAATGAGCACGGATTTTGTTAAGACTCGTATAATTAATAGAAGTGTCAAGTTTTAGCAAAGTATCCATATCGGTTACTGTAGAGGCGGATACCGGATGTTAACCTACTCTCACCCATAGAACGTTTAGCAACGTAGGAGGGTCATTCAAAAAGTTTGTAGACTTTTGTTATACTTTTTTTATTTAACGTCATATTTAAACCAATTTTGATACAAATTTTTTTTACAACAGATTCAAAGCAAAGAAATTGTAATATATCTAGATTTTTGTCGAAATTATCAAAGATTTAAGACAGTAAAAACAGGGTAACGGAGCAGTGTCAAAATTGAGTTTTTGACTGATTATTCACTTTACATATCTATAACCATACCTCTGTAAAATTGTCCTTAACTGAAATAAAATTCAAATACTTATATTTAGTATTGTTTCATTTCTTCAAAAGCTAAAAGTTAATGTAATTAATACATTGCTTTTTAAGATATCATTTTCTATAGACAGATAGCCTTGATTAAAAAAGCAAAAAATCATGACGTCGAAGGACGTCAGGAGCAGCGAATAGCTATATAATTTTGTTTTGCATTTGGAAACTTTAAAAACAAACTCGGAAAATGCCAGGAAACCAGGAAAATTCATAAAATGAAATGTGTATTTGTTTATAATGGAACAGACAATTTTTGAGGGGTCAAGACTTTATATTTGGCGATGAGCGTTCTGCAAAGAAACAGATTATAGTTCAAAATCTTGTCAAAAGAGTAAGTAACGTCATGAAACATGATGTGCGCTTCACTGTTGAACCTGTAAGAGCAGAGTTACATGGTAAAGGATTTGAAAACATTGACAATCTTTGTATTTAAGTTATACTCAAATTATTGTTAGCATACTTTGTGTCAAGTGTTATGGATACGTTTTAATGAATGGGGAATACAATACAAAATGTGTATAAATGAAAAGGCACTGTGAGTTTGAGAAATTTTCTTTAACGTTGTTTTTGACGTTACAATGTTTTTGACCGTGCTCCGTGGTGACAAAATATGCTGCTTTTAAAATTGTCTAACATGAGTTCCGTTTAATCAAATAGAATGAAACTTCAGAAATTTATAAAAAAAAATATCTTTTTACATATAAAAATGTACTGATATTAAACTTTGTAAAAATAATTTTATTATGACGAACATTGTCTACGTATTTTTTGAATGACCCTCGTACAATCTAATTAAAATTACGTGTTAGATCCGCTCGCATACTCGCTACTCGTTTGATAAAGCCAATATGAAAGCACACTACCTGGACATTATCTTTATTTTAAGAACACTTTATTGTTTGTGCTAAAAGGAATATAAAACTGAATAAATTATTATATTTGTTTAATTACATTTTGATTTATTGTATTTCGCGTTGTCTTCATAGTACAAATAAAATAACGCAAAATCTAACAACGAAACAGCACATTATTACATTTTGCGTTGATTTTGACGCAAAAAGTTATAACGAAAAAGGTTATAATCTAAAAATCGTGTTTTTACATTTTGAGTTATTACATTTTGCGGGGATCTTGACGCAAAATGTTTTAACGCAAAATGTATTTATCCTATTTTATTACATTTCGCTTGTTTATATACTCACCGTCAATGAAAACGCAACACTCTAATTTTAGGGTGAAAAGTATATACGGGTTATAAATATGTACAAAAAAGTTAGGACATCTTTTACTTTGCCAAATCAGTTATTTAACGGTTGAATGATTTTTTTCCTCTACCGGAAGTTGCTTTTTAGCCCTCTTCACAGAAATCAAATTTTTGCATTTTTAATAAAATTTTTAACAATATTTTGGGTTTTCGAGGTTTTGTAGCTGTTTATCATAAGTAATGTACTAAAATGCCGGGAAATAAACCATTCTTTCTTTACCGGATGTGATTCCTATATTTCCTCAAAATGACTGATTTTCATTGCTAAAGCTGGAGATTCTCAAAATAAAGAAAAAAAGAGCTGCAGATGCAAAATGTACACTATTTAACCACTCATCAGGCTCATGTGTTTCAATAGCATAAATAACAGTTTCTTGAACGGAAGTCCAAGAGTTACTATACTACGCCAAGTTAGAGAAAATTCGACCGCAGTATCTGAACAACAGGCAATTAAAAATGCCCAAGAATATTTATTTCGCTCAGATAAAGACATTGATAAACCTAATGCATGGTAGAAATCGGACTGCGTACATTTATGTTGTACATGGCGGACTAGCATGTTTTGATTAAATTGTAAGAAGGGGGAGGTGTTTTATTTAAATGTTATCTGTTCAGGGGGCTAAAAAATCAACTTTCGGTTATGGAATGAAAACCATTCAATTACTAAATAACTGATTTGGCAATGTAAAAAATGTCCTAACTTGTTTGGTACATAGTTATATCCCGTTTATAATTTTTCACCCTTTAAGTAGAGTGTTGCGTTTTCATTGACGGGGAGTATACATTTTGCTTTGTAACAGTTGTATAGATTGTGCTGCTTTTGAATATATTCTTTAATGAAAGTTATTTATACATCAAAAAGTAAAAATTGACCGTTTAAAACAATCTGTATTTACCCTTTTCTTTGTTTCGACATGTTCTTTGCTTTTCTCTGGAACTTCTCTTTTTTCCAGTCTGTGAGAAATGGATAATAGGTAATCAAAATGACAAAACAGCTCTCTTTCTTTTTTAATATAATGATTCCAAGCTCTATTAACGAATTAGAAATGATATATATTCATAGATATTATGCATGCAATTTTTTGCAAAAAGAAAATTATAATTTTAATGCAGATTATTATTTTAGATGAAAGATAAATAAATTAAAAAAAAACACAAACACTTGTGAAGGACCATCAACATTTTCTCCTTCCAATTTAGGTTTGGAATATTTGAGCATATTCGAGGAAATAACATGGCCTCTAAATGGTTTCTGTTTCAGATGCTGTTCTGAACATGTTTTGCACATAGGTTCCTCGCAATTTTCACAAAAAAAATCCGCTGATAAACTTTTATTTTCTCTTTTACAAGGCTCACACAGAAAGCTGTTGCCAAAATTATCAGTGATTTCATGCTCACGACTGAATTTCAGATGTATTTCTACGCAATTTTTACACAGGTGCTCATCACAATCATGGCAATACTTCATAGCTTTTGCATGATTTTCATCGATCTTACAAATATCGCATGACACATCATCTCGATTTTGAAGTTTAATAAAGCCAGAAATATCCGTATCAATTTTATGATTTCGGAATTGCTTTTGTTTGATGTGATGACCAGCGCAATCATTACACAATGGCTGGAGATCTGAACAATCTGTGCAATATGCATCAGCTAGTACGTCTTTTCCATCTATCTTGCATACATCACAAAAAACCTGCTCCTTTCCTATGTTTAGTAGAAGTGATAAATCTTTACAGAGTTTATGTCCTCGAAAAATCTTCTGTCGCATATGCTGTCTGCCACACTCAGAGCACAAAGGTTCTTGGTCATCGCAATCATGACAAAAGCAATTGGCCTTAGTATCTATGCCTTCTTCCTTACATACTGCGCAAAGAACAGAAGAATTACCTATTGTACATATTGAAATTTGACTTATATCGTCACAAATTGAATGGTGTCTGAATTGTCGCTGCTTGATGTGTTGACGTGCGCACTCCCTGCACAAAGGTTCTGGCTCATCGCAGTCTTTACAAAATGAATCGGCTTGAGTTTTACCCCCTTCAGTTGTACAAGGCTTGCAAAAAAGTTCATCGTTTTTGGGCAAATTTGCTATATCTTTGCTGATCATGTGATTTCTGAATAACTTTTGTCTAAGATGTTGAGCTGCACAGTCTTCGCAAAGTGCTTCTATTTCTTTGCAAGTCAGACAGAAAGAAGTAGCACGCTTGTGCTCGCCATCAAGTAGACACATCTCGCAGTTAATGTTATTGCTTTTTAGAATAGAAGCAAAAGCTTCCATATCAGGGGACAATGAATGGTCACGGAAAATTTTCTGTCTAATGTGATGTCGACCGCATACATCACACAATGGTTCAGGTATCTTACAAGAAGTACAGAAGCAGGATGCAGTTCGGTATTCTCCGATATCAGTGCAAAGAGTACAATTGAATGTTTTAGCATCTCTATCTATGTTATTTTGTGTAACCTGAAAATAAAAAAGGATCTCGTAACATCGTGTAATGTCCTCATTCTGTAATGCCTCTGAAGCCTGATGCATCAAAGAAATCGTTCAGTTTCCTTTTCAATATTGTATTTATGAGGGAAATATCTGCAATATGCAAATTTAACCATCACTTGAAAAATTTGTTGTTTGATAACGTTTTTTTAATTCTTCTTAAATAAAAATCAGCTTTCATGAAGTTATAAAAATCTTATGTAATTTGAGGTATTAAATGATCTTTAAAGTAGTCGTAGCTAGCAATTTCAAATTCGATCAATTAAACAGACTCGTTTAAATAATTATTTCGTAAGTTCAATCATGGTCTACACAACGACCTTGTCAGCAAATACTGACTGACATTTTTCATACTAATTGTTAGTTCTTAATTCATACATTGATTTTAATTCATACATTAATTTGATGACGGATTTTCCCGATATGTATCAATCATCTTAGGGAGCCTTGTAATCTGACATAATAAAATATTGATTAAATTAATAATAAAATAATGACAAGGAGAACACGGCGAGTGTGATCGATCGGCAGGGAATGCTCATTTCTCAATGGCACCTGTTCCCACCTCTGATGTTTTGGAGGTACATGTTCGCTCTGCTCCTTTTGTATTATGATTTTCGATTTTGAATGCTGTACTCATTAAACATAAAGGACATCTAAACACAGGTTGAAACAAGTGACATGGAGGAGTAGCATTCCCAAAAAATTATACAAATATGGAAAGGACGTACCTGTGCAAATTTTGTGTACAACTTATCCAGGTTGGTGCAGATGGAATGACTTTTAAATATCTCAGATGCTATATGTCTTTTTGAGCAAGGCAGGCAAAAATATTCTGGATCTTCGCATGTTTCACAGAACGCGTAGGCTGGAACCTTTTCATTCAGACATTCACAAATTTCGCAAAATAACTTCTTATATTCTTCAATGTCAGTGACAGTATGAGACTTGGTTGACCTTTGAAATTGATGACGCTTTCCACATGGATTACAAAGGTATATCTGTTCTTCTTTACACACCAATGATGCAGGTACCGATTCCCCTATTTCGTGACAAAGGTGACAATGACTTGCTGGATAAGTGTCTTCAATTTGTACCTAGTATGAGAGTGACATTTTCAGCTGATGTTGAAAGAGAATTAATAAGGCATATGTTTTGAGTAATATTACCTTAAGACAGGGGTTATGATCTACTGATCTTTTATTACAGATACAAATATTTAGTACCGTATGTTAACTTCATTTTTAATACCAGTTTTATAAAATGTTTAAGTTGTATTGATCGGGTAATTGAAGTTGGATGGTAAAACAATAAAACTAAGAAATTAGATCAAATATCTTTGTATTACAATAAAGAATCCAGTGTATGTGTGCAAGACAATTTGTCACCAGAAAGATAACGCAAACTATTGTCCAATTCTTAGACACTATTAAAGGGCAGAAGATGAGCTCAATAGTTAAAAACTCTCTAATCGAAGCATCGGACTAGATAAGCTATATCTTAAAAACGGCCTAAGAATATGCTAATGAACTATCTAACAGATGTAGTTGTTGCATTCATCTAAGCTATTTAATCCCGCATGTGCGGATCAAGATTTTTTTTCCAGGGGGGGGGGGGGTGTTGTTCCACCCCAGTCCAAAAAAAAAAATAATAAATCCAGAAATTTGACAAGCCAAAACAAGTAAAATCGCCCAAACTTCAAGAACCTATTTCGTATTTTCATACCAATTTAACACAAATTTACCTTTAAAAGGAAGGGTCTGCGTTTTTTGAGGAGGGTTCATGGTAACTATTTTCTTGCTTTAATATATAAATTTGATAACTCCCCCCCCCCCTCTAGATCAGCAAATGAATCCCTTATAGCTACAGATTCAATGAAAATTGAATGCATAACAGGTTTGTAGGTGTTGAGTACTCTGTATATTTTGCCATAAATCCCATTTATTACTATTAGCATCAAGGGTGGGACGTGTAATGTCCTAGTTCATAACCTTAAATTTTGGTAAGAGTTATTTCCCCCTTTGTAATAATTGATAAAATAAATAATTATAAAAATTACGGGCAAAAAAGCATTTTAAATTGTCATTTTATTCCTGTTTCAATGTATCTTCCCACCGGAGTATTTAATGATATTCTTATTATTTAAATTTTTATTTTCAAAAATGCTTTTTTCCATAGGCCCCAATGGAATCTTTGTTAATAAACTAATTCTTAAGTAGCGGAATTGTTTTTAAATGCTTCAATATAATATCTAAGTGTTTTGTACTTGACCACTATTTAAGGGTATTGAATTTGGTCCCATTAAGGGATGGAAATCCTTAATTTTTTTCTCTCTAGCACTTGTGATTTGAAGATAGCAAAATTTTAATAAGCCAGTTTTGGGGTATTTCAATGCGGTGACTCATTCGAGGTATCAAGAATTAAGCATAAAATCCCATGAAGTACATTTTTTGCACTTTAAGAAATGGATCTTAAATAAACACCTTCAAATGTAAGGTTATCTGATTTAGTTTGAAGAGAGAAGAATACATAACCAATTTACGAAACCAAATACATTGGTATTGATTGATGCCATTCTAAATTCTAAAGTTCTGTCAAGCTGTCAAGCTACTTCTATTGAAATGTACATTCATACAAAATTAGGAAATTCTTTTGCGTCTAGGAGAAATATTTTCCAAATGGTTTAAAGTATTAAAGCACATTAACTTTTACAAAATATTGTTCATACACAATTTGCCCAGGCAATTCTACAAGATTGGCTGTAGAAAATTAACTAGAGAATCTTAAGCAATGTAGAGGACTACTGCTGCTGGTAAAATACAATTGTAGCTAATAAATAAAGCAAAATGAACAAGCTAATTCAGAGAATTTGTGTCCCCCGCTTAGGGAAAAAGTAAACCATGCGCAGTTCGTGGAGGGGGGGGGGGTGTCGGATCCCCCTGACTTAAGTTGTAAATAATTAAATTTGTAGAATTATTAAATGTATACATGTATACTGAAGCAAATGAAATACAAGTATGTCAATATGCATATAAAGATTTGATTGCTTATTCTTTATTATGTGTATAGGAGATTCTTTTTACGTGGAATATTTATCACACTGTAATAATGATTTTATAACCTCATAAATTTTTCATTTCACATGCTGAATACTATCATTTAGTAAAAAAAAAGTATTTAAAAAAAAAAGGAAAGGTTCAACCGAGATTCGATCCCGGGACCTCTGTCATACGAAGCGAGAGACATGACCATTGGACCACGGTATCGCTTTACCGAAGATGAAGTATATGCAGAACTGAAGTCATATACATGTATTTATTCATGTTCGGTATTCTCAAAATTTTACACAATCCATGGTGTTTGATTTATTTAGCCTTTATTAAACATTTCTAATAGATGTAATAAGAACATAAAGTCCGCCGAGAACCTGTTTTATAAGCAATAACTTTCCTCATGCCCCTGCGCTAAAAATAGCGACATGTAATACTATAAATACTAATAAAACAAACGGGGCGGGGCACTTTGAGAGGGGCGAGAGGCGTCCTAGGGAGTTTTGGTAAAAAATTACATTGCATAAGCTCAAAATCTTCTTGAAATATCACCCGGAAATGATAGTATTACACACAGACAGAATGTATAAATTCACGACCTTGAATTTTGACATTTTGACCTCAAAATCAATAGGGGTCTTCATTAGGCCACAGGGAGTTGTTATATAAAATTTCATTGCAATAGCTCAAATGGTTCTAGAGATAAGGTGTGGAAACGAAAGTGTTTTAACAGACAGAATTTGCTAATCTATGACTTGACCTTTGACCTTTTGACCTCAAAATCAATAGGGGTCTTCTTTAGTCCATAGGGAGTTGCTTTGCTAAATTTCATTGCAAAAGCTCAAAGGGTTCTCGAGATATCGTGTGGAAACGAAATCGTTACAGACAGACAGAAAGACGGACGGACGGACGGACAAACCCAAATTAATATCCCTCACTTTTCAAGCGGGGGACAAAAGGAAGACATTATCCTTTGAACGAATAGATTAAAAATATCAGATGAATGTTGAAATTTCGCAGTAACAGATTGAGAGACTTTATAAAAAACAATCTTTATTTCTGTCTACGAACCACAACAGGTGAAAATAGAATGGGATTTCATAAAACAGTATTAAATGGACCAAATTTGATTTTCACTTTTAATTCATACACAATAGAGAAATATTATTTGGGAAAAAAATGTTTATTAATTGAACTGAAACATAATTTTTTGCAAGCATTAGCTAGGTAAGTCAAAATTGTTCAGTGAAATAATGCAGTTTTTTCATTACTTTGAAGCATTTAAGGGGGATGTACAAGCCATATTGGATCTAGTCTGGTGTAAAATAAGAAATATCAAGAATGCGCTTTATACTCTACTAAACTAGCCCAAAGTTACTCAAAGTGCTAATGCACTTATTACCTACTGTTAGAGACCAAAATTAATAAATAATTAAGTTTATTTTGTTTTAATTAGGAGGAAATTAATCATGTTAGAACTGCGCAGCTACAGCATTCACGAGATGAAAAATGCATTGAAAATGGTGTTAGTTTGATTCATTGATAATATGGCTACAACCATTTGTTTCTCTTTTTTCTTGTCATTATCCATAATTCTTGAAAATTTGATTTTTCATATGGGTGTCTTCCTGAGGCCATGTGTTTACTTCGTCCGCCATTCCTCTGTCACACAGAGTTCGAATAACATTGATTTTAGAATAAATTCGACCATAATAACATCAAGACAAGAAATTACTAATTAATAATCATTAGGTTATATTACTTGCTACTTTTATTTGTTGCATCGCATCGTCTGATTAATGTAAAAACGTGATTTTAACCCCACTCCAGCAAATCGGGAAAAACTGTTCTGTTTACAGCTCGAATTTCCTTGTTAAAATCATTCCACTGAGCACGTGGTTGGCATGTGCATATATCTGCTGTGGATAGATACGTTTATTACCATGATTATATTTAATTTTTCATGGAACAAGTCTTGATAATTTGTTGGTTTCGTTAAAACTCAAGAAAAAAGATAAAAAATGTCCTAAACATATGTGTTTACGTCGGGTCTTTTTTTTCTGTGGCGATAGAAGTTATTTTCAAATGGGGCACTGCAAGGAGGATGCTTAGCATTTAATTTGAAAATGTTAAACAATATGCAGTGCATGAAAAACAAATAATAATTACATGTCTTACATTCGAAAAGTTGGTACATATGTATATTTTGTTTAGCAGTTAGATAGAAACAATAGGCAGTTATAAGATTTCCTTCAGGCACCTTACATAAATAGTTAGATTTCTTGCAATGACCCACACATTGTATGGAGTAATGTTTGGACATAAAAACGCATCATATCTCATTATGTTGACAACGTTGTAAGCTCTCGCTCATTGAACATACGAAGCTTGATAAAATATATTGATTTGTTTCTTTGAAATTTAGAAACAAGCACAATGTTTGCAAAGAAAGGTCCATTGCACATGTTATGTCTATCATCGGGAAAAAAGTGAGAGGAGTAATGTTTGGATATAAAAACGCATCATATTTGGATATAAAAACGCATCATATCTCATTATGTTGACAACGTTGTAAGCTCTCGCTCATTGAACATACGAAGCTTGATAAAATATATTGATTTGTTTCTTTGAAATTTAGAAACAAGCACAATGTTTGCAAAGAAAGGTCCATTGCACATGCTATGTCTATCATCGGGAAAAAAGTGAGAGGCTACCCACCCACCCCCCGAAAATCCTATGTTTGTTTGTTTTTCTAAATAGTGCCAAAGATTCAAAAAGTTTGCATTACTTAAGTATGTGATGGAACATGTACTAGCCTTATAAGACCATTTGTTATAAAAATGTTTGGTTACCCTCTCTCCCGATCTACTGTCTATCTAGAAATGGCCCGACTCAATTTTTTTACATCCCATTACACGAAATTTTTTTTCTTTCGTCAACAAATATTTTTAAATTTTAAGGAATTTTTTTCTCATAATACCGACCGAATAATTTTTCCCTGAGTTGGGAGGACCACCAAACGTCATTTTAAAGATGGTATAAAATAATTAATTATGTTTATTTTTTTTCCTTTACTCTGTAAAATTGTAATTTTGACAAAATGGGCAAATTAAAAAAAGTTTTTTTTTTACTCATTAAATCTTCTAACCCACTCTGAATGATTTCATTCCTTTTCAAATTTTGCTCCGCTGTAATGAAAATTGTAAATGTTTATTTGACAGAGCATACGAGGGGTGATCAAAAAGTAAAAGGAATCTTAGGTATTTGGTTATATTATTGTTGAAATATTCGAGTATTTTTCAAAGTGTAAATTGAAAGTCTTTGATAGCATATTGCTTAATTAAAAACACATCCCAAGATAACATAACAAGTATCAAATTTAACCATCTGCCGTCCTTCACTAAAACGATCTATCCAATCATTGATTGAATTTAAAGGAAGTCATTTGTCTTAATAAACTGTGAACAAATTCTTATACAGTACTTCAAAGGCATTTTTAAGATATACCATAAATATTTTAGTCGTTTGTTGAACGAGTTCCACTGAGACAATCATTTTTCGTCACAAGTACATGCAAAATGACGTCATTTTCACATTGTGAGCAAAACTTCAGCATATGCTATTTATAGAACTTGTGTTTGGCAATGTGTGCACCAAATTTGTTTCTAATCTGAATTGTGGTTTTGAAGATACACATGTATAGAAATAGTTCGCGAACTTTTTGATCAACCCTCGTACTATTAGGTACTAAAACAAGGTCATTCATATCGATTTTATGTGTTTAATTTCTTTCTGTTTCAATGGTGATAATTAATCTTTTAATAGATATTATAAGTTATCTGTGGCAAACTTACAAACTCTCAATTTTTAACTTTGATGGTGCTCATTTTACCTTTACTTGAATCAAAGAGTTTTAGATTTTTTTTTATATCAATACGTTCACTATTTAACAACTGTTCGATAATAATACTAAATAAATTACTTCAAGAAACGCTATAACACATTTCCTCTTTTAAAAGTGTTCATATTATTTGAAATATTTTGCAACTGTAATTCTCTTCTACATTTAAAGATTGTTATGTCCCTCCATATTAAGAAGAGGTCTGGAAAACAAAATTCTGTGCTAAAAATAGACCACGTGCTGCTATCCATGAACTACTTTCATGGTTCTTTACACTCTTTTTGAAGACAACGATACATTGTTTTGAACTTGAAATTATCATATAAAAGTGCAAAATTTAGACATTTTCTCAACAAATGGTTGTAGAGAGAACATTAATGCACAGTTTGCGTATTTTTTTTTGATTTTTTAAGGCTTTGCTGAATTCTGTAGCTGCGCAGTTTTAAGGAGCATATCAAAAGCATTTTTCTGCAAAAGTATAGATTATATATGCACAACATGCATTCAGTTATGCATATTTATTGTATCTTTATCATAAAGACTTAAAATTTGATCAAAATATAATGTATTTTAGCCATCTGAAGAAATGTTTACATTTTGTTCTCACTGCACTAAAGGTGGCCGTACATCCCCCTTAAATAGTGAAAGTGGAAATACTTAAACATATATTCAAGTAACCTTGTTTATGTAATCTAGTGTTCTATTCAATTTTTTTCATCCTTTTATGTTATTATTGACATTCAGTTACTTGATATCAATAAGTTTAAAGCACATTATTGGTCATTACATTTTGATTGTATAGTAGCTGTATAGATCAGATAAGGATATTTTTATCATCGCATAAATGTTGATAAAAACGAATGTATTGAGGCTAGAAGCTATTATTCATAGAAATGGAAGTCAATGAACGAAACACTTAAAACAAGGCAAACTCAGGTATAGTTTATTTCCCATAATAACAATAGAAATTTTAAATTAAATGAAATAAGCGAAAGGCACTAAATAGAAATTTCGCCAACTGTTATACCTTTACAGTAAAAAAAAATACCGTTTCAATGCAATGGGGCATTGGGACAATATAGTTGATGTGTAACTGGTCAACTTTTTTCCCCACAAAACAATGTAAAATAAATTCAGAAGATTCTGTCGATACATGTTTAATTAGATATTGGGACTCAACAAAAATTTCCAATTCATATTTTTTGGTCTACCGAACATTTGTTTTCAGAATTTAGATTAATTATTAAATGCATTCTGTAATGTACAAAATACTTCATCAACCCTTTACTGAACATAAAATGGGACATCTTTTCCATGATTATGTCATGTACAGTACATTACAATAGTGTATAGACTTTTACTAACGACAGAAATCGTCAGTTGTTTACTAGTTCATCACTTTTAAACATTAAAAAAAAAAAGATAATTACATTTTCTAGAATTGTCAGAAAATTTTATTATTAGCGTGAGATCGTAGTAAATATGGGCTGTAAAAATTAGGTCCTTTCATTTAAATGTAGTCTTAACAATGACAAAGAATTAATTCTACCTTCTCCATGCTTGGCCCACCGACTTCGCCTGGATCCTTATCAGGCCTGTCACGAACTACTTCTTCCATTTTATTTTGGTATTGTATATAAGCTAACCTGTTAAAAATAATGCATATAAGTTTAAATCTGTATTAATCCGATATGCAGGGATTCGGTACATTGCCATAATGAGAGCTTTTGATATATGTGTATCACTAAGTGTAAAACCTGGATTGTTGCAGAAAAAATAGGAAATCAAAATAAGTTTATTGAGAGTTCCATTTTTATTTTCAAAACGATATATTTATAGTTCCATACAGCAATGGGAGTGTGGTTTTAAGTAACGAAAAGTCGTTGATATTAATTAGTTTTTTCCTTGAGAAGTAAAAAATAATTTTTTTTAATGATTTACTGTCTTGAACATGTTTTGAATCTTTATTTGTAAGGATTTTTATATATATAATGTAACAATCAAGTCAAAGTACGGTAACTCAAATTTAATTTAATTTTCGGGAATATATTTATATTATTATTTATATTATTATCAAGCCTCTTGCGATGCTTTCTAACTAGAAATGCGACTTATTTAGCTGATTAGTCAAATCATGTTGCATTACTAGTGAGTACCACAAAAATACTAAGGACATTAATGCTTGAAAAAAGTTTTTTATCTGCATTTGAGTCACCGAGTAGACAGAGATCTACGATTTCCCAGCAAACATTTACAAACAATATTTATAAATATGATTTATAAATACACAAAGTTCAAAGGTTTGTAAAGCGTTAGGTGGGTAATCCGCTAGATCTACACATATTTACGAGATTCAGTGAATAGAAGTTTCGTATGCATTTTTGTCCCAAAATGGTAAAAACTGAGGTTCCATGCACTTTATTTAGTATAAATATCTTTGGCTGACCATAAAAAGTTTTACATTAGTACAGATATTGTGTAAATTGATCTTAATCACTTGTCTATGATAAAATGTTAACTTATCGTAATCAAACATGTTTTGTCATTCTGTCATCGGATTGGACAGTTGTTATCGGTAATCAACTATTTGCAAATTAAAAAAAAAACAGCCATAAAAGGTAGATTCCTCGGACATACATCTCCCCCTACTGCACCAAGATCTGCCCATTTTCTTTTCATAAAAGAACGTATTGTTACAAACCAGGCCGACATCTTCTGTCATGTAGTATAAAAATTATAGATAAAGCAGTAATCCTTATTAACTAAAATGTGTCGGAGCTATTGTAACTGTTCAAAAGGCGTCATAATTATTCACTTATGTTTGAAATATTTCAAAATTGCTGTAGATAAACCATAACTCGTCGTTGGAAAAGAGGCCTAAAAAGGCCGTTATGTCATATCATCTTTTATCATGAGAAATTACTGTGTATAGAGCTTAAAAGTTTTTTGTTATTGTTATTTTGTTATATATTTTTTGGTAATCTCAGTTTCACTATAAGCACTTTATAAGGGGACCTGTTTTTGTATTTATTTGAATCAAAATTTGTCCGAAATCTTATGCCTGAATAAAAGAAAACATTGACTGTGGCCTACAGTTCTACATTTAAATAAATCGACGACGCATTGTCAATTAAAAATGGTTATTTCCATTCTGTTGTCGAAACGATATATCCCGATGATCTTGAGATGAAAGATACCACTGAGTCTGACTCATGAAAGAGATAAAGATAACAAATGGATTTAAAGATCAAAAGTCCATAAGATAATACAAAAGAGGAACAGAGAAAAAAAACTGCAAAACATCAGAGGTGGGATCAGGTGCCATGGAAAAGCCAGTGAGCATCTCGCACCGGCCGGTCACATCCGCCGTCTGTTAATTATCATAATTGGGAAAAAACGGGAAAATCCATCGTGAATTTACTGTATAAATTATGGACTAACAATAAATATTAAAAACGACAATCATTTTATCGAACGTATAACCTACGAAATGATAACTTTAAACGAGGCTGCTGACATTCTTGCTTCATCAAATTTTTTGTCAATAATTTACCTCGTTGTAATGATTGATTGATTGCAAACTGTTTAACATCAATCTCCAGAATATTTCACTGATATGGAGACGTCACCATTGCCGGTGAAGGGTGGCAAATTGAGGCCTATGCTCGGCACTTATGGCCTTTGAGCAGGGAGGGATCTTTATCGTACCACACCTGCTGTGACACGGGGCCTCGGTTTATACGATCTCATCCGAAAGACCGCCCCATTTAGTCGCCTTTTACGACAAGCAAGGGGGTACTGAGGACCTATTCTAACACGGATCCCCACGGGGCTACCTCGTTGTAAAAATTGTTTATATGTAGACCATGCTTTTGCGTATCGATTCATCTGAGACACATTAATTTGCTGCATAAGTAAGGGAAGTTGATGATTGTAGAATTAAAGTCACCAGGTTTATCATCTAGCTTGGTTGTTAGCTTACCATAAATTATTAACATCTTTTTCTAGTAAAAAAAAATGCACTTAATGCGATATTTTTGCATACTAGGGCTGATCAATGAATAAAGTCATTTGTGCTCGGAAAGAAACAAAAAAAGCTTTTTAATTGTTTCATTCAAATATTTTCTTTTAATTAAAACACGTCTGTAACTTTTTCTCTAATTCCTGATTATTTTTAGGACACATTTTAGAGTATGACCCTTCATATACTGGATTATGGCAGATCCTATGATTTCCTGGACTTGTTTTTTCTTTTTAAAAAGTGAGGTTTTTTTTCAACTTTGAACAAGTCAAAGGGTACAAAATCTGGCGAATATTGTTGGTGTGACAAAACTTTGGTAATTTTCCGTTTATCCCCCAAACTCATTAAGCCATTCTAATTCTCCTCATGTATTCGGACGCTGTCATGAAGAAATTTTATGTAGCAGATTCCTGATTTGTTCCTTTCTCTCATAAACCTTTCGATTTAAAAAAAAATCTTTTTATACTTCTCCAGAAATTGAATCGCCTCCCCGAATAAATAGAACAACAACATCACTAAAGTTTAAAAAAAATCATATAAAACTGTTTTTGTGCTCTTGCAATTCTTTGTATTTCTCAAGTGCATCTTATTGTAATTTTGTATTGAGGGTTCAAGCAATGAATTCAAGTTTCACTTAAAAGTTTATATTTGAATTTCAAACAAACGTTGATAACTACAATTTTCGATTAAAAAAAAATGTTTCACTCATTTTCCCAACATAGGGTAACCACAGAGTACAAAGCTTTTTTTATTGTCAAATATTTCTGTAAAACAGTGTAAACTACCGCCAAAATTATGGCTTTTATTTTGCTATGAGTCAATCAAACATCATGATAATTTGTTGAATTTTGGCAAAGAGTAATTTGTCTGTAAGCTTTTGTCGCCAAGGACGGTGCCCATTTTTGATGTCTATTATATTATTTTGTTCATATAAATCCATGTGTTTATAAAAAATAAATTGGTTATAGATTTTACATATTTTAGTGAATATTTCTTTGACGTTCTTAGCGAGTTTTACAGGAGCTTTCATAGAGCGTTTAGTTTTATACTAGTAAAAAACGATGTAAGATTATTGATTATTTTTGGTAGAAAACATAGGTTCTAGGTTGTCAGAAGAATCGGACTTTTAAGTACATGTATTATTATATGTGTATAATTTTATTCTGTTTAAAAAAACATGTAGGAAGTATATTTATTTTATCTTTTAAATTCTTAAACGTTAGGTTATTTAGTAAATATTTGTTTATCACACAGATATAGTTTACCCATTTAAAGATCAAAATATAAATATTTCAAATTCCGATTTATATGCTTTGCTATTGAGAATGATTATTATTTTCTTTTGCAAAGCAGAAAGGGTTTATACGTTCTGCCTATCCTGCCTCTCTTTGCATTATATCCCATCAGACAGGTCAGTTAATTTTGCTTTATAGGCTGAAAAAAGTTTTTATTTGACTTGCAAGTATGCGGTATATATTATACATGTAAAGTGCTTTCCTCTTTCTTCTCTGATTCAATGCAGCGAAAATAGTAAAGAGTGTGTAGAGGGGCATTCGGGAAGAATATATTAAGAAGGATATGGAGATAACGAACAGTATTCAATCTCAATGTCCATTAAACAATATACAAAATCAAGCAGAGCAAACATGGACCTCCGAAACATCAGAGGTGGGATCAGGTGCAATCTAAATATAATTGTGTAATTGTATGCAAGAGATAGTTGTATAATTGTATTATGTTAAACAGTTCAGGTATTGGTGACCTAAATATTCACTTCCTGAATTGAAAGAAGATTACCTGATTTACACGTCTCTGGCTCGAATGCTTATAAATGTTTAGAATTTAATGTTTTTGTCTAATTTTGGTTTTAATATGCAATGAAATTGGTAATGTCTCCCTTAAATCATCAATTTACCTGACAAAAATACTGCGTTTTGAAATGCGCAAATTGTGATCTCTATTTTTAGAAAAGGTTGGACTTCTCAAATAAACCCAAATTACTTCACACCCTTATATTTTATGATAAACTAACCATTTTTTTCAAGTAACCAGGCCACGTTGTATTTACTTAGGCTGTATAGTAAATTATAGTACTTACTATTTGGTTCTGACTAAGCAACGGTGAAACCACACCCCAGTCATATCCATTTGTTATGCTTGTTTAGCCATGGAGAACCACTCGGAATTCCTCGAATGACTCGTACCTCACACATAAACCTCGGACCATCTTGTCGATTTAGTCATGTGATCTTATTTGAATTTTATCAATAGTTACATTTTTGAAATCCAAGTTACTTTGTTGCACGCCCAACACTGTTCTTGCTTTCAAACACTACTAATATTTGATTGTAAGGAACAAGCGGAATTACACATATAAAAGAATTTTTCCCGAAGATTTTAAGGCAGAGCGAAATTATGAAATAAGTGACAAGACAGTTTCCGGCGGAGAAATGTGTCGACTTGATATGTATTACTCAAAGTATCACATCCGAGGTTTTAATGGAGGGAAGCGGAGTCAGCCGAGGATAACCGATTGATGAAGAACAAAAAGCTTGTGCTGTCTCAAACCTTGTAACTTCAATTAATATAATTATGCAAAATCAAAATAAAACTAAAAAAATCTTTCAAATAAAATTGATCAATATGTAAATAGGATATTAGCATTACCAAGAAAAATATGCCGAGATTTTTCATCGCTGTTGACATTATCCTGGTTCCGCGGCACATCCTAATATACGAAGCATATCAATGACAGGGTTGTTCGGTAAATTCGTAGACTTTTGTCATATCCTTTTATTTGACGTTATATGTTAAACAAATTTTGTAGAAATATTTTAAAAATAAATTCAAATGATCAGTATCAAAAATTTTGGAAACATCATAACTTACTTAAAACTTTTCCAGAATAAAAAAATGTAAACATCAGGTAAAAATGTAGTAATTTACAAGCAATTATCTAAATAAGGTCTTTAGTCATATTATCTGTAAAATAAAGCAAATACAAATAAAATCCTAAACGTTAAAAGTAAGATTTGTTGCATCAATTCATAATCTAACTTATAACTGGATATTTTGCTTCGTATAAAAGATATCAATTTGAGAGGAGAGATAGTCCTTATTGAAAATGACATTTTAGAACCTCACGAAAGATGAAATAACAAAGCAATTTTATGTTGTACTCGGTAAAAATTTTGAATAAATTTTTAAAATGTTATAGGAATCACAACAATATGTCATAAGCGAGTAGTGCATCTGTGTGTAAATGGCACATGTGGTATTTTAGTGACAGAACTCTGTATCGGACGAGGACAATTTGTGGAAAAAGAATTAACTGTAAAAATCTGAACAAAACCTTCAAAAATGGAACGTCATGGAATGCCATAGGCGCTTGGCTAACTTTAATGTCACTTTTTTTTATGGAGACAGTGTACAATCCACAGTGGTCAGTACCCTTAAAGTCAACCCCATTTACCGACTTAAACAAACTTTTAATCAAACCAATGCAGAACAGTTCCCTTCCGGATTTTCAAATAGTCATGACAATTCATCATCCATTTCGTGTTATTCGATTGCTCCTTGCCGCCGGTAGATATCATATGCTTGATTATTGTTCAATTGTTTTAAAAATATTTTACTTTAGATTTTGAAGAATGTCTTCTGTAGAAAGGAAACTCTGAGTACAATTCATTCGCAGAATTAAATTAAAGTTCCAATTCATTTAGCTAAAAAGGAGTCAAACACACAAAATTCTTACTAATTTATAAGCTGAGTCTCATATATTGATTTGATATTTTCCATCACATTATACCTATACAGTTTCATGGGAGATCTGAATGGTAGAAAAGTAATTTTGCAGGAAAATTCCATCAAACAGCTCATTTACGTCATTTAATTTCTATGTTAAAACATTCTAGATCAGGCACCGGGGCCACGAACATTTTATTTTACTCAACTCAAATCTGTGTAGAGTAAACTTTACTTTACTCTCCCGAGTTGCGACTGAAAAAAGTGTGCCACGAACGCTAAAGAAACTCAACTCACCAGAGTAACAAAACTCTGCATGAAACTCAAATTGTTTTTAATGATATAAGAGGTCTTACCAATAAAAATAAATTCAAAAACCTTTAAACGCCTTTTCTGTGTTCATTTTTCCGTTCCATTCATGATTTTCTGCATAATAACATAGAACTATGACGTCATATTTGTTTTGATGACGTTACATGTGTATGGAACGCCTGTCGAAGCAAATGGAAGGGGTTCCATTAGACTCGGTAATATATGACATAATTTTGCCGCAAAGTAGTTTAATAGAAGAAACACCTCTAAGTCTAGACGTTAAAAAAATACAGTTTGAAGATTGCGAACTTACACCTTTGGCCTCTAGCACTCCAAATCCAAAGAGAAAACCAACTTGGAGTGAATTGGAACAAAATATTCTGTTGGAAGAAGTAACAAAAAATGAAAAGACGCTTTTCGGGAAATTTAAAGGACCTGGCTGAGGGAAAAGAGAGCGAGAAGAGGCCTGGGAAAATGTGGCCAGGGCAGTAAATGAGTATGTTTTAATTTTCTTTCCTTGATAGTGTATTTATTTATTTTATTTGTACATTCTAAAAGAGGCATAGGCCTAGCTCAGTAGCTGTGTTATCGACGATACGGCCGACTCAAGTTTTTTTTAAATGGAAAACACCTGTTACTATATATAGATACCATGTTACATGTTCATTGAAAGGCTGGTTGCCCCCCCCGCACTATATACTATAGAAAGTAATTGAAAGTTGGCATTGAAAAAGTTGTTTTACCCCCCCCCCCCCGTCCCCCAACAACAACACACACACACACACGAAATAGAATTTTCGAGAGAAAAAAATTCTCTGGCTGCCCCTGCACTCCCCCCCCCCACTTTCAAAAACGATGCTACGTGGCTGATATTTGTAATCATTTGTGGACAAGTTTTATATTTCATAGCTGCAAGTTTGTTACATGATCTTCATTTCACTTGTTATAAATAATTCTTGTTCTTAACAAAAGATTTAGATAGTCTATGAAATAAAACAAACACACTAAAGAGTTTCAAGTATTGAACTAGATTTCTTATGACAATTTGTTTTATTTACGGTTTATTTCTGTGGTACAGAGTAGGCATTTGTCTTCGGACAGGAAAGGAGGCTTCCAAGCAATATGCGAATTTGAAAACCAGAGGTACATACCTAAGATACATATGATTTTTACTATTCCGAAAAAATACAAAACGCATTTCAGTTGAAGTCATATTGGCGTATCTTTTTGATAACAAAATTTAGAAAAAAATCTTTCTATTTGTTTTATAACTTTTTATAAAGATAGAAATTTCCTGAAAAGTATAATAAATTTAAATAAATCGCGTTTCATAGATATTAAAAGTCTAAAACAATTACCGATATGCCTTACTCCTAGCTCATTTAAATAAAACATAGTTAAAGGTCAATTTAATTAATACAGAAAAGTTCAAAATCTGTAAAATTATTAATTTAAAGGTAAATAACATATATATGTATTATGTGTATATCAACACTAAGCATCATTATTGATTTTAATAGCAAAGGACAAACTGTCGCAAATGAAACGACCCAAGACAGGTGGAGGTCCAAAGCCCCCATCACCAACCCCTGTTGAGCAAGCCATGCTGGATACGTTGGAGGGAAGGCCGTCAATGCAGGGATTGGACTCTGGTTTTGATTCTGGTGGTAAGAATACTGTCTTAATGGTTTGAACATATTTTATTGTAATCTTATGACAAGTTAAAATAAGAGACCTTTATGCCAAACACGATATAAATAATACAAAAAACTGTCATAAGTCATTGCATGAATTTGTGTTTAATTTTAAAGATATGGAGGTGGATTGTTCGTCTGGAGAGTGCCCTCGAGCTCAGTCTGATTTTAACTCCACAACTTCAGCTACATGTATCCCCAGTACTCAAAACTCCTGCGCAGCAAAAAGTCAGAAAGGGCCTGAAAAGAAAACTAAAAGTTTAATCGAACTGCAGAAAGACTTACTAATGACAGAAAAGAAGAAGATGGAGATGGAGATGGAGGTATTGAAGCTGAAAAAGGAGAAGTTGGTTGAGGAAATGGGGGCTCTTGCGTATTCAAAAAGAGAAGTTATTAAAATAAATTATTCATACTGATTTTAACGTTTCTTTTTATTTTCTGCTTAATTTCCAAAAAAAGTACGGGCTATGTGGTCTCGAACTGCTTTTCCCTCATTGCGTCCTCCATCAGTCGGCAACACAGCTTCATCAACTATTTGTCCAGTCACAGGGGGCACATCAATGATGTCTTGTCGCTCAATGCCGAGATTGTGAAGTACAACACAGGCAACAACAATTTCACATGCTTGTTCGGGTTGAACTCGTAATCCTTTATTGAAGAAAATAAGCCGTTTAGATGGGAAAAATAATTAATTTAAAAAAAAGAAGAAAAATTTAACAGAAAATCACATTTACTTCAATAATTTATTTCCGTAATTTACGATGGGGACATTCATTGACCCCCTCCTTATATGTTACATTTGTATCAATGGAGGGTCTAGGAATACAAGATAAATATGTACTGTATAACATACCTATCTGGAGACACGGAAACCTTCTTTTTAAGATTCCGAAAGCCTGTTCTTTTGTTACCCGAGTGCGACACAGAGCAGTGTTAAATTTCTCCTCGGCTAACCAGATACGGAACCATCAAATACTTCCTTAACGCATAACCCGAATCTCCCAGTATTAATCCTGTGCGGGCACCTGATGAAAAAAAAATCTTTTTTTTAAAAATGTCTTTATTCAACACAAGCATCCGTGTCAATGTCAAACTCATTATTAATAGTTAAATTATTCTTATCACATTACTTCTTACCAGTCTCAAACAATCTTGCAAGAGACGACTCTTTAAAAACACGCGAGTCATGAACGCTCCCAGGCCATTTTGCAACACAATTTACGAAACGGAAAGATGCATCACAAGCCATCTAAGGAAAAAAAAAATTCTGCAATAATGAATAATAAAGCTTAGATCGGAAAGGATTGAGAAAGAGAGAGGGTTAATTTAAAATGAAATCAGAAATATTTTACGATAATTGTCTATCGCATTTTACTTGGAATTGAATAGTAATCGTGTTTGTTTTCCCTGAAATTATTTGTGTATGACATTTAAAGCCAGTCAAAAATATTGTTTGTAATTACAAAACTGCTATTTATACTTTACTGAAAATATTTCATCATATTAAGTTATGTCATTCGTCAGCTTCAGAAAAAAAATAATCGCGGATCAGCTTGTATACTCTTAATAACACAATTTCATTGAGAAAAATTAAGGCCTACGAATCGAACAACTGAATTTAAGGATTTATTATTTTTAAAAAAAAACATTTACATGCCTCGCCACACCATAATAGCAGATTGTCTCAATATTGTAATTTATTCATCAACCAAAATAGAAGGTTAAACAGATTTTTTAGCTTTGGAGTGGTTTTTAGAAGCAAAAGAAGTGATATAAACTATTTTTTATATTTACAATATGAATCTACAAGACTATTGATATTCAATATTTGTTTAAATCAAATTGTTTGAACTTCGACTATTCATATTTTACTCGACAAACTTTTCAGGCTTATAAATATAAGTACGCAGAAATTATTCAATGAAGGTTTTCACATCTTAAATGGAGATAGATTAAATAAACCTTGTTTTATTCACCCCGGAATTGTAATATTTTGACCCATATCTGAAAAATTGCATTCACCTCCCCCCTTTCTTTCAGTGGCGTAGCATCGTTTTTGAAAGTGGGGGGCCAGGCAGAGAAAAATTTTTTTTTACTTACCTTAAAAAGTTGAGAAGCCCAAAAAAAAGTAAAAAAAAAAAAAAAAAAAAAAAGGTAAATGTTGCCCAAACTCGAAAATCCTATTTCGGGGGGGAGGGGGGGGGGGGTATAGGTAAACTTTTTCTCAGTGTCAACTACTTTTAGTACCAATTCTTATACTACATTTTCGGTACATTTCTAAAAGTGGGGGGGGGGGGGGGCAACCAGGCTTTCAATTAACATTTCCTATAGTGTAAGTTAGGTTGGGAAAAAAAGTGGGGGGGGGGGGGCAGGCCCCCCCCCCTGGCCCCCCGGATACTAAGCCCCTGCTTATTAATTTTCTTCGTTTTTAAACTATCAATAATCAACATCCACTAAATAAAAATGATTTAGGAAAATTTTAAAGCAAACTGAAACAATTGTTGTTAAATAGTCACCTGAACATTTAAAGCGTAGTATCCTTTCCTGCAAACAAACTCAGCCTCATTTTGCAATGGACATCTAATACGGATCAAAGTACCGTCGACACAGCAAACCACATTCGGAAAGCCTTTAAAGTACATGTATACAGGAAACATTTTCTTACCATTGTGTACATTAGTACATATTGAGCTTTAAAAAAAAAAAGAATATATCTTAAAAATATTTATATAAATTTGATAGGACATGCGCACCATACCATCGAAACCTGTTAAACTTTATTATCTCCCTTTCAAAAGAGCGTGGTGTGATCATTTCATGGATGTTTGTTTTGAATTAATGGATGTAAATTTCAGCTACATAAAGATACTAATAAAAAGAATTGGAGGTTAGTGCATTTTTTTAAATTTTCCACATGCTATTATTTTGCATCAGTTGTCAGACAATATATTTATAGCCTAAATATAGTGCGTGTTTTAACGTTAGGCCTCTAAAAATATGTTGATCAGTTTTCCAGTTAAAGTTGTGCAAAGTTTGTGACCTGTCATGTTATGTAAAAGAAATTTGTACCTGCTAAACCGTAAAATTTTGTACGTTTCTCGGCAATTTCAGGAACTGACGGAAAACGAATGTATTGCCTTGTCAAATTGCAAAGAAGGGAGGTAACTCCTCGAACTGCCCGTCCTGCTGCCGACTTTGAGATTGCAAGGGAGTCCCCAATCAACTGATAAAAGGCACCAGTGGCATAGAACCGCAGGGCCAGAAGCACTTGCAGTAGGGTAGGAAGAGGCGAACTTCTCTTTGTTTTGTGTTTTAACCCATTTTCTAAAACACCGCAAATAAACATAATGGTGGCGGATCTAAAACGGTATCTGCTGAAAATTTCCTCCTCCGCCAAAGATTCCAGTGGGTTTGTCCGATCCTGCATACGACGAGGTACCCTTACAATATTTCTCATAATCATGCGCCTGGCAGCCATTTTTGTGTTGAGTCGACTTCTGAGACAGCTACATAGCTATCCCAGATATTTTGAGTAAAACTCTAGAAAAAACTCTATGTGAGCAAGACTCAAGTTTCGTGGCACACTTTATTGAGTTCAACTCAGCGATTGGAGTAAAAAACTCAAATTTGAGTAAAATACAGCCCTTGAGTTCGACTCAAGATGTTTGTGGCCCCGGGGCCAGGTTGAAGCACACAATTACTTAGTGTTCAAGTCTCCAAGGTTGGGAAATTGCCCCGTAGTCATCCATGAAACCGTTGCTTTTATGCTCAGATCCTTTTTTGCACTCTTCTCATGAAATATAAGTCTTTATTTTTAACTATTTCGATAGAGTGCTTGCCAGTGGGGACTTTCTTGCTATTTTTTTTTTAAAACTGACTTGCAACCGAGAGCTCTTCCAAAATTTGTCAACAACACTTTAACTAAATGACCCTTCTGTACGCTAAGTAATGAAGACATTGTTTGAAACTGTTTTTCACCAGTGGGATACTTAAATGTTTATCAACAACACAAATCTTTTGCTTATTTAGAAATGAGGAAATTGTTTTGAATGTTTGGGCATGGGGTCATTAACCATTCCTCTGAAGTTTAATGTATACACGATCATTAAGTACTATCTATGATAAGTGACAATCGATTTGTAGTATACCCGGTCATTAAGTACTATCTATGATAAGTGATAATCAGTTTGTTGTATACCCGGTCATTAAGTACTATCTATGATAAGTGATAATCAGTTTGTAGTATACCCGGTCATTAAGTACTATCTATGATAAGTGATAATCAGTTTGTTGTATACCCGGTCATTAAGTACTATCTATGATAAGTGATAATCAGTTTGTAGTATACCCGGTCATTAAGTACTATCTATGATAAGTGATAATCAGTTTGTAGTATACCCGGTCATTAAGTACTATCTATGATAAGTGATAATCAGTTTGTTGTATACCCGGTCATTAAGTACTATCTATGATAAGTGACAATCGGTTTGTAGTATACCCGGTCATTAAGTACTATCTATGATAAGTGATAATCAGTTTGTTGTATACCCGGTCATTAAGTACTATCTATGATAAGTGATAATCAGTTTGTAGTATACCCGGTCATTAAGTACTATCTATGATAAGTGATAATCAGTTTGTAGTATACCCGGTCATTAAGTACTATCTATGATAAGTGATAATCAGTTTGTAGTATACCCGGTCATTAAGTACTATCTATGATAAGTGATAATCAATTTGTAGTATACCCGGTCATTAAGTACTATCTATGATAAGTGACAATCGGTTTGTAGTATACCCGGTCATTAAGTACTATCTATGATAAGTGATAATCAGTTTGTTGTATACCCGGTCATTAAGTACTATCTATGATAAGTGATAATCAGTTTGTAGTATACCCGGTCATTAAGTACTATCTATGATAAGTGATAATCAGTTTGTAGTATACCCGGTCATTAAGTACTATCTATGATAAGTGATAATCAGTTTGTAGTATACCCGGTCATTAAGTACTATCTATGATAAGTGATAATCAATTTGTAGTATACCCGGTCATTAAGTACTATCTATGATAAGTGATAATCAGTTTGTTGTATACCCGGTCATTAAGTACTATCTATGATTAGTGACAATCGGTTTGTAGTATACAGGATCATTAAGTACTATCTATGATAAGTGACAATCAGTTTGTAGTATACCCGGTCATTAAGTACTATCTATGATAAGTGACAATCGGTTTGTAGTATACCCGGTCATTAAGTACTATCTATGATAAGTGACAATCGGTTTGTTGTATACCCGATTATTAAGTACTATCTATGATTAGTGACAATCGGTTTGTTGTATACAGGATCATTAAGTGCTGTCTATGATAAGTGACAATCGGTTTGTTGTATACCGGGTCATAAAGTACTATCTATGATTAGTGACAATCGGTTTGTTAAAATAAAAATCATATACACAAATAATAAAAACAACGTATGTAATAATTATTTATTTAAGAAAAAATCATATGCGGTAACAAGATAAAATTTCTTTTTTATTGATACTAAAAATGATTGAAATAAAATATTAGAAACCAGGAGCAAGCCCCTGTTAGCTAGCTTTATTCTCAGTGCCCTAGATTTTGCATGTTGACAGAAATGTTATTTAAAAATTACGATCGAGACAAAATTATAAATCACAAAAAATATAGATTTTGCGTAAATGACACTGACATAACTTTAAAAAATAGATCAAAGATTCGTTATAAAATGCGTAAGACGGGTTTAATGAGGTTTGACCATTAAGTCACCATTAAGCTCGGTAGCTTAATGAAGTTTGGACATTAATCACCTGTAAGTTGCAGCTTAAGGGTGGCTTAATAGAGTTAACTTTTTTAAGCACCATTAAGTCATTATTAAGTCACCATTAAGCCACCATTAAGCAATTGCTTAAAGGTGGTCTTTCGTCTTGTGATATCAATAAGTAATGTTGATTTTGAAATAGTTCATACGTAGTTCATGTTTTAAGTATCAAATCAACAAAGATCTATAAAGCATGTTCTCAGACGATAAAGATAAATTACTGCGATTTCTAGTTTTGCATAAAAAAAAATTCAAAATCCATTTGACGAAAAAGGATTAGTGTATAAAAACTGTATATTAGTCAGCATATGGCGTGTTAATTTAATTTTGATGAATGTTTTCCCAAAGTAAACTTTGTATCAAATGATGTCGATATTTTTTTTTTTAGAATTGTCAGTAAACGATAACAGACATCTTATCATGCATTTCTGTAAAATTAAATTTAGATCACAGCAACAATTAGCGTAAGAGCTAAGACAGAAGCGATAAGAATTATGTCACTTCCAACCTTAAACAAAGAAAATCTTAGACTGCTTTGCGTTGTTATGAAGCATATTTACAAATGCGTAGAGGTCGTGCATTTATCTAAAATGTATCCCTGTAAATGCCTTTGCTCAATGATACCCATATTTAGTGACATTATGATAGCAATAAGAGGCGCGTTTGTTAAGCTCTCCGTTATCCAAGTATCGTCCCCTCTACAAAGACAAATGAGCGGACTAAATCCTCCTACAAGTTTTCCTTTTGTGCTCTTGCTTCTAGTTTGTGGTCTTGGGAACGTGTCATCAAATCGTTTAGGTAAATATATATCCTGTGGATATACTGCTTTTCTTCATAACATTCAATAAGTTGCTAGAAAAAGAATTAGATAAATAGATCGATGAAACAGATGTGTCAGACTTTGTGGTATCCTTTATCAACTCATTGGGATATATTTTATCGACATAAGAATGGAAATAACCAAATGTTGATTGACAATGCGTGTAGGTATATTCAAATGTCGGGTTGTGAGACACAGCAAGTGGTTTCTAGATGATAGAAAGATAGAAAGAAAATTATATAGAAATAAATATTAGTTTTTGTTCATTTTGGTTTACAGTATGGGAGGAATGCACAGATGAACTTGGCACTCGGGAGTGTTTACGATACAAAGATGAAGATTGTGTTGGTGTATACGAGACTTGGGCCAGGGCAAACTGCGCTCTGCGATGTGGATACTGTCCGAGTAAGTTGACTCGTCGCTCGCTATGTGAAAGGGGATTATATATCAAGTTCAATTCTCAGCTCTAATTAGACCTTGGCTTCATGGTAATCTTACAACCAAGCTATATGATAAACGTGATGACTAACTTTTCTATCGTCAACTTCCTTTACTTATGCAGCAATATACATGAACCTTCATCAACTGCATACGGAGTATATATATATATATCTCAGTTGATTCGATTCGCAAGAGCATTCTCTACGTATGAACAATTTCTAAAACGAGGTTTATTATTGACAAGCAAGTTGATGAAACAAGAATATCAGCAGTCTCGTTTAATCATTTCGTAAGTTTTATTGTTGATACAATGACCTTGTCAGCAAATACAATATATCATTGAGTCAAATGCTGACTGATGTTTTCTATATTAATTGTTAGTGTATTATTTTTACAAGGAATTTTCCCGTTATTCGCCGATCAAGACAAGAAGCACACGGCGGATATGACCGGTCAGTAGTGATGCTCATTCCTCCATGGCACATAATCACACCTCTGATGTTTCGGAGGTCCGTGTTTGCTCTTCTCCTAATTTGTAATGTTTTTTTTTTAAATTTGCATTGAATAATGTTCGCTATCTTCATATCATTCTTGCACGTCATACAGTTCAGAACAATATATATTGAACATCTTTCTGATATTCTGAAGTCATTATAAATATGATGAGTTTTGTAAAGTTCGACTGATTTATTGTAAGTTTTTTAATGTGCGATTCTACAATTTTTCATTAAAAGAAACGTTTCACATCTACATCTATGCTTAGACTCTGACCATTGATCTCAGGGCGTTTTAATTTATCAACAGAATTAAAACTTATATTCTTAATTTTTTATAAACAGTCATTCCCACGTTAAATGAACCTGTATATTTACTTAACTTCTCTTAGGTCATTAACAAAGTTTATTTGCTTAAGGTATGTCACTCGTAAAATTTGTCCAATCAAGGATTTTTTAGAAGTATATTTTGGATAAGTACTCATAAGTAACTCAAAATTGCAGAGAAAAAAGGGGTCATTGTTTATCTTAATGATCTATGGTACAATGAAGTTTACCTTTCTGCACTTAAATTTTAACTCTTTGGTTGATTACTTTAACCTTTATAATATCTTATCAGATGTAACAATGACAATAAATATGATTTCATTCTACGTAAAATATTTTGAATAATATTTATCATTAAACAAATCTTGCAGATTAATGCGCGTAAATTATTGTGTGACCTTTTTGCACTAAAAAGTACCATATTTGGGGTATATAAAACTAAATAGACAATAAAATATTTTCTTAAATGAAGGATATGGAGATAACGAATCAAACTTTTTACGACGTAGTGCTGATCAGTTATAAATGTCGAGAACTTTAAAAAAAAACAATGAAAGAAAAAAGTCGTGATCAGTGATGTTAATTTTGAAACATTGGTCACAATTTGTGAGTTTTGGGCGAAAATTGTGTAAATTTTATCTTGACTTATTTTTTTACATTTTTTTTTAAAAACTTAACGAGTGAAATACCTTAAACCATTCTGATCGTATACACAAGAACTCCGATGTTAGAATTAAAAAAAAAAGATGCATGAGTTTCTTATTGACAATGTCTAATTGTTTTTGGATTTAGATATACAGTTTATATTGACGAGGTATTGTCAATTACAATGTTTCTTTTTTTCTATTTTATGTCCTTGCGATGTAACCATGTGATCTTGAAAAATACTAGAGCGTCTGTTTCCGCGTTTAATTTTTTTATATTTTACTAGAAAAAGATGTGAATGTTAACCTGACAACTAAGTTTTATGAAAATCGAGATGTCTTAACATTTGAATCCTCAACTTCCCAAATTCAGTACTTATGGAATAATATACCTTCACCATCTGCATACGAGGTTTATTTATCTTCGTTGATTTGATACTCAAGAGCATAATCTACATATGAATACTTTTTAAAACAAAGTAAATGGTTGACAAACAAGATGACGAAGCAAAAGTATCAGCATTCTCGTTTAAATCTGTCATTTTGTAAGGTCTGTAGTTGATACGATGACCTTTTCAGCAAATACAATTTATCATTAAGTCAAATGCTGTTTTTCCTCTTATTCCCTATTTATAACAAGGAGCACTCAGGGGATGCTCTCTCCTCTTTGGCACCTGATCCCATGCACCTTTGATGTTTTGAAGGTCCGTGTTTGTTCTGCCCAAATTTGTGCTGTTTAATGAATTTTTGATTGTGTCTTCTGTTTGCCATATTATTCATGCAAACGGAAGCAGTGATTCATGAATTCGTTTTTTTTTACCTCTCTTTCCCGAAATAACCCTGTTTCAATTCTAATACAGGGTGCTTGCTGAAGTAACTGCCACTATATTTGGTGTCCCTATAACATTGACGCGACCTTTCGAACAGGATTCGCCCTGAACCTCCTGATCACGAAACAAACATACTATTTCTAAGTTACCCTTTCTAAAGCTGTTCACTGCTGTCACCATGAAATTTCTTTCGTGTGTTTCAAAGAGAAGATAGTCTACATGGATACTGCTCCCATTTGTATTATTATCATGGTGTTTTATGTTACAGTAAAAAGGCTACCCTGTGTCGACAACATTAACTACTGCAGTGATTTCGGGGCAGATGTGTGTCATCAAGATGTATATGGACAATACATGAGGGAAAACTGCAGAAAAACATGTAACTTCTGTAGAGGTATTTTTACTGCCAGAAAAAAAAAATCAAAATTATGCAGCTGCTTTTATTTCATTTATTTGATAAAAAAAACACTAATAAAAAGAATATTCTTGTTTGAAACATAAGAAATGATCTTGAACCAAAACTTCCTGGCCTATCAGATTGTTAGAATACACAAATGAATATCTGCTCCCCACCATTTACTTTTGGGTTATTTGATATGTAATATCTGGTTCAACGTGCAACATATTCCTGTTGTGAGTGACTTGTGATTTTATATATATGACTTCCCTTATAGTTCCAACAGAGTACCTAGTCTCTACTTCCACCTGGACAGCTACACCAGGTAGGTCAACTCTAACAGATAAATCAGATATATCATTACCACATATCTAATACAACCAGTACAACCCCACCAAGTAGGTCGACTCTGACAGCTATATAAGGTAATTTAGCTCCCTAATCACTCAGGTAGCACAAAAATATGCAAAGTGTCAACTTAAAATATAAAAATATATATTAAATATGCCGTTATCACAACATCAGTAAAGGCAGGTGTAAATATGCCAGGAAAACCAGAAGTGCTAATAACACAACATTAGCTAAGACAGGTGTAAATAATAAACTGTGAATCAGCTCAAACAAGGACATAGTCACTACAAGTGCAAAAACACCAAAAAATATATATGTGTTGAGGATACCAGCTAGGTAATCAAATACCTCTTACAGTCACTACCAGTACCATGACACCAGGAAAGATAGGTGTCACTACTAGTGTAGTAGGAAAGGAGAAATCCACGGCGAAAACATATGGCTGAACCGGGAATCGAAACCGGTACACTGTATTACTAGTCAGGTGCTCTAACCACTGAGCTGATATCCACGGTCCGTTACTCTCAAACACTAGTAAATCAGGTAAAGATGTACATGAAAGATACCTCTCACAGAGTTCTAGTCAATACCAGTACCGTACCTCAAAGAGCTCTACATGTTCAAATTAATATTTAATATTGTGGTATTTCTAGTGCAAAGTAATCATTTCATATTTATTTCTTGCTAGTTAAACATGCACGTGTTATTTTGTAGTAACTGTTTGTGTTTTCTTTTTAGAACAAACAACGACTTATAACCCAGGTAATGAGGATCTCTCAGGTTTATGTTACACCTAATGTGATATATCTGTTAAATATCGATATTGGTACTTTTGGTTTGCATGAAAGGAAACCGAAAATACAATGTATTTGACTGAATGCACCTTTTACTAATATTTCTTTTGCATTAAACAGTATTATTTTTGTGTCACAATAATCGAAGATTCGGGGCATGTAGATTTGCCTTTCTGTCTGTCTGTCTGCGTTTATCCTTGGAGGAAAAGGCCAATTAAAACAAAAACTTGAATTGTGGCTATCAATTTTGTACTGCAAAAGTAAGGAATAGGATATTTCATAGGTATTTGTGATCCTTTATAGGATCCCAGCAAGTTTATAAATTGTTATTGACCTTGAAATTTTATTAGCATTGGCCATACTATTTAAATGATTAAAGCTAAATCCTACATGTATATATACTTCACATATTTAAACCTCTTGATAACACCTTTCTGTCCGTAAACCCTAAATTTTCACTACTGACCTTGGAACTTTGCTCACTTCAAAACACTTTAAACTTGGTCATAACTTTCGAACATTAGTATTTTAAAGATGTATTAATCGTAGTAAAACGGTCCCTTAGAAACCTGGTATTTTGAGCACCGTTATCTTTAACTCGTTCTCTAGCTTTCCTGTGAGTGTTTCATTCTATTCATCAAATACCTAATACTCCTGTCTCAGGTCCCCCAAGAAAGAGTTGATAATTCTCCGCTTCGTCAGAAATTTTGAATCGATGGTACATGTACATCTAAGTAAGCGTCCTGAGGTCCTTCAGTGTGATGGAAACATACAACGATGAATCACTGCTTTTTGTTAATTACTGCTAACGTCATTTCCTGTTTTAAGTAAATTTGAAATTGATGTTTTTATTTTTGCAAAAACAAAATAAGAATTGCTGATAATTACATGAATTTAAGGCATGAAATTCAAATGAAAGTGTTAAAACCTGATCACTTTGTCAGAGTTGATAAACCTTTGTAGAAAAAATATTTTATTATGTAATACTTCCACAGGTTCATGTATATATACATGATACAATTCATTTTTAGAAATAAGTTATATTCAAATAAACATAAACCCTCACATTCCACAAGCAACAAATATTATTTTAAATGATGTAAAAGTTGTTTGAAGAAATTAACAGTGAATAAGGTAGCAAGAGAACACATGTTTTTAATTAGAGATAATGCAAGCCTATCAAAAATTTTAATTTTAGTTGTGGAGATAAAAGATAGGTGTAGAGCTATCAACCTTTCCTATGTAAACAAGACCTGTGTCATGCTTTTGTTTACATAAGCTGAATATGCTAATATATGTTCATTCAAAGCAGATCTTTTTTTTTCAATAATGAAAGACAGTTTCTTTCTAGTGATTTGCTGAATCTCGTTTTGACACAGAACTGATACTTTCTATATGTAAACAAAACCAAGGCACAATCTTTGTTTACATTATGAAAAGTTTTAAGTTCTTGATCAACAAATAATGTTCGAATTTAGCTAATCATTACAAATGCCTTAGTCAATAATTGTAAACGTTATAATTGGTTAATATAAAATTTCAGATGAAACTGTGTCCATGAACATTAAAATAAAAATGTGCATTATATTGATACATGTATTCATGAAATAAGAAAACACTGAGAAGAAATAAGAAACATCTTTAAATATCAGTTAAACACGGTTACTTCGATTGACAGTCATTTTGCTTCTGATAATAAATAATTTTTCATTATATTATACCAAACAGTCAATATCATGTTTTTTTTAATTTGAGCTCAAGAATGGTGTTCTGACAGAAGATACTGTTGGCGCTATCCTGCTGAGAAGTGTGTAGGTTTTTATGAGAACTGGTTCAGAAAAAATTGTCCATACAGATGTGGATATTGCCCAAGTAAGACTAAAATTATCATACAATTCTGCTGTAAGTATTTGTGTAGCATGCATAGCATAGCGATACTACAAAATAAAACTAACTACGTCCGTCCTTTTGTCGGTAGAAGGTTTGAATTTGATATTTTTCACATATATTTATCTTGGTAATCCGACTTTTGATCTTTGAATGAGACACTTGAGTTAATATGTTTATGTCAAGCGGCACATAAGCAATTAAAAGCAAAGAGGTGTCAAAATAGGCTATATTTTTATGTTTAAATAAGTAAAATTCCAACGTTGTTGAGTTGACCTTGAACAATATAATACCTTGAATATATTATGATCATGAACTCTTGACATATGGTAAAATAAAATATATTCGTTAGGTCAAAATTTCAATTTTTTTAGGAAAACAATTGCGTTGTTTGTATTTGATTTCATAGTTCGGAAATTTTTAGAAGTAATTTATTTAAAAGTAAACATTTGCAGGGTGGTTAAAAATTCGTTGGCATACGTCTCTCCACAGCCCAAACTTTACGAAAATTAAACCCCCACTAAAGGTCATGATTTCAAAATAGAGTAATTTTTATTTTGATAGGTAGGCTTTAATAATTGTGATTATGCACGTCACATTATTTTAAATGTATACACTTTAATTACTTGAAAGTATAAACAATACAATTACCACACTCATTAAAATTCAAATAGAATTCTAATGAAAATATGCTGAAAGGAAAAAGAAACGCATAATAATCTTTTGAATGAAATCAAAACTATTATTTCCAATATGTTGTCCAGTATTGTTATGAAACATTTGATTCAACTTTAATTAACAAGTTACAAAAATCTTTTGTGACTTGACTCATAACTCCTGAGTTATTAAAATTGATATATCGATATCGATACCCCCCAAAATTAAAATAAAAAATCTCATCATCTTCCTTGCACATCAGTAACAGCCCTGATTTTCCTGTGCAATGAGTTCACCAGAGCATTTATCTTTCTCATAGGATTATCATTCAAGCCTACCGACGGTAGTCTTAATGGTTGAGAGTAATTGTGTTCTTACAATGCCAACAACCCCCTCTCCCATGAATTTCACGAAAATTCGATTTAGGATAGAATTTACAGAATCCAGCTGGTTTGGTACACGTAGATGTTTGTGAGTAAGTATCGACAAACACTGGCTACATTTTCACAGCGTGAACATGCTAAAAACATTACACATACAACGCGTACGTGCGCATATGAGAGTAAAATCGACGTAAAGTTGACAAGCTTGCGCACCAACTTAGAGCAGAGAGTTTCTCTCAATATTAGGATGAAACTAAGAGTATGACTATCTGCTGTATAAATAGTGGTTTCAGTGATAACGCCTTGACAATAGCCGACCTTTCTTGATGTGACCTTGTTACGCGCCAATGTCACAATCATGGTTGGTTGGAAACCTTTTAATTTAATCTCTGACAACCAAAAAACTGTTTTGGTTTAAAAGTTTAAAAAAACTGCACAGGAACATGTTGTTGCTTTTTTATTCAATTATGCAATTCAATACACTAGACCCAAAATAACTTCTGTCAGCCATATCATGATTGCAAGAAATTTATACAGACTGCAAACGATGTCTATCACTCTAATGCATTTCATGGCACTACAATATGTGATCACAAAATTGTTATCATAAACATGCACGTGTTTTGGGATTTTCAACACTTCCCCTACGTGACACCATATATTTCATGGTTGTGTAGTTTTAACCAGCGATTTAAGTGCACAGTAAGGAAGAAGAATATGGAGATAACGAACAGTATTCAATCTCAAAGTCAATAAAACAATACAAAATAAGAGCAGAGCAAACACGAACCCCGAAACAACAGAGGTGGGATCAGGTGCCATGGAGGAGTGAGCATCCCGTGCCGACCGGTCACACCCGACGTGTGCTCCTTGTCATGATCCTGAAATAACGGAAATATCCGTCGTCAATTCAGTGTATAAATAATGGACAAACAATTAATATGAAAAACGTCAGTCAGCATTAGACTCAATGATAAATTGTATTTGCTGACAAGGTCATTGTATCGACCATATAATTTTCGAAATGATTACTTTAATCAAGACTGCTGCTATTTCTGCTTCATCAACTTGCTTGTCAATAATTTACCTCGTTTCAGAAATTGTTCATACGTAGAGCATGTTCTTGCGTATCGAATCAATTGAGATATATATACTGTAGATGCAGGTGATGAAGGTATATTGCTGCATAAGTAGGGGAAGTTGACGATAGAAAAGTTAAAGTTATCACGTTTATCATATAGTTTGGTTGTTAGATTACCATTAGCCATTAACCAAAATACAACATCTTACCAATTATCATAATTTTAGGCCACAAAGTTAAATATTTTTGCATATTATGCTCTTATGCGTTTCTTTTGCCGTTCAGTATATGTATTGATTTCTGTATTACAAAAACCGTTGTCAGTGACAAAATCAGTTTTTATAACAAACAACCTCCCTTAACCCCCCTCTTCATCAATATCATTTCTAATAAATATTTAAATAAAATTATTTATTTTAGTCAGGAATCGTAGTTGTATTTGATTTTTAGGTTTCTGAAAGATTAATTTTATACATTTGGTCTAACTTCCATAAAAATTGGCTCAACTTGAGAATCTTATTCTACATAATAATGGGAGAATAAAGAATATATTTACATTTTCTGAAAATCCCCATACACTTTTTCCTGATGTACATGTGTTAAGGTCTTTTGCTTTAACGCTAGCAGTAAAGAAGGTACAGTTTTGGCTTGTATGTGCTCTAAAATTTCATGTTTTTAAAAAGTCGTGAAATTGGCTATTACTGTAGTTGAGTAGATGAATATGATAAATCATTAAAGAATATGGAAGAGGACCGTTCTGGAAATATGACGTCACTAATTTAGTACATTTCTAAGATAAATGCAGAAAAGCCTTAAAATGACTCATTTCTGTGCTTATTTTCCTTCAGAAAATACTCGTATTGTCTGCCACTGTCGCCCGCTTCAGTTTTTGGATATATTATGTAAACTGCTTTGATAAACAACATATCTCAAAATCTTTCTGAGCGACGGTGGCAGATCATGTTTTCTGAGAGGACATTCCACTGATAATTGATGTCTTCTGCAATTTTTTTTATTTATAAAATACGGGAAAATGCACACGTTGATGAGGTCACAATTAGCATTTAAGTGGTCATATGAGAAAAACGATTTGAGTACTCTTAATGCCTGGAATTCCTATGATTCAGAAAAAAATGAATTTTAATTTCATATATAACTTTCAATTTTTGGGAAAAAAAGGGCTGAATGTGTATTGAAAGTGTACCTTCTTCTTAATATCTATACTTCATAAGATAAACAAATGTTGATGCTTTAATTCATTCTGTGCACGTGTTCTTTGATTGATATATTTCTTTCTTAAAATATATTACAGATATGGATATTTTCTTTCAAGACATGTGTATGCTACAAACTTCAGAACATAAATATGATGTAATACGTGACAAAACCTTATAATCAATAAAAAAAATTGACCGTATATATTTCCATTTCTTTACGTCAAATACTTTGCAATAATTTAATTTTAAGTCTACACATATATATTTTATGTTTCATATGTACACATATATTTATTTTATCAGATCTTCTACCACCTTGTGAGGATCTAGACCCAAGTTGTGAAGCTTACTCTTTAGAAGCCTGTACCAACCTAACATACAGAGCCTACATGAGAGAAAACTGCAGGAAAAGATGCAACGAGTGTAAATGTAAGTTTGTCAACTCAGTCTGTATTAACCAAGCATGAAGAGCTTATATGCGAGAAAACTGCCAGATGTACGAGGGTCATTCAAAAAATACGTAGACAATGTTCCTCATCATCACATTATTTTTACAAAACATAATATTAGTGCATTTTCATATTTAGAAAGGTATATTTTATAGATTTCATTTTGTTTGATTAAATGAAACTCATGATAGCCAATTTTGAAAACAACATGTATTGTCACCATGGAGCACGCGGTCAAAACATTGTAACGTCAAACACAACGTTAAAGAAAATTTCTCAAACTCACCGTGCCTTTTCATTTTACACACGGTTTGTATCGTATTCTTCATTTATTAAAATGTATCCACAACACTTGACACCTAGTATGCTAACAATCATTCGAGTATACTTTAAATAATATTGTTAATGTTTTCAAATCCTTTACCATGTAACTCTGCTTTTACAGTTTCCGCAACAGTGAAGCACACATCACGTTTCATGACGTTACTGAGTCTTTTGACAAGATTTTGAACTATCATCTGTTTCTTTGCAGAATGCCCAGCACCCAATTTAAAGTCTTTACCCCTCAAAAATTGTCTGTTCAATTATAAACAAATACATGGATCATTTTATGTATTTTCCTGGTTTCTCCAGCATTTTCGAAGTTTGTTTTAAGTTTTCTAAATACAAAACAAAATTATATTGTTACTCGCTGTTCCGTGACGTCCTTCGACGTCATGATCTTTTGCTTTTTTAATCAAGACTATCTGTCTATAGAACTTGATATCTTTTAAACAAAGCAATGTAATACATTAACTGTTAGCTTTTGGAGAAATGAAACAATACTAATTTTAAGTATCTAAATTTTATTTCATTTAATTACAATTTTAAAGAGATATGGCTATTGATATGAAGAGTGATTAATCAGTCAATAACTCAATTTCGACCCTGCTCCGTGACCCCGTTTTTACTGTCTTAAATCTTTAAATAATTTTGACAAAAATCGAGATATATTCCAATTTCTTTGCTCAAAATATTTGAATCTGTTGTTAAAATATATGTATCAAATTTGGTTAAAATATGACGTTAAATAAAAAAGTTATGACAAAAGTCTACGAACTTTTTGAATGACCCTCGTAATTTTAAATTGTCTAAAAATTCTTTGGAATTTTTGAGTATCCACATCTGATTTACACAACTTTTTGAATATAATGTTGAACACTACTCTCTATAATTCTAGATGTTGATGTTCAACTGAAGGTAAATGTAACACAACATTATTTCTACAGCATTGTATCTTAGCAAAACTAAAGAGTTTGGAACTACTTAATCTTATAATATCTATCATTTCATTTCTACAGACCCAGGACAGAATCTTGCGCCAATCACACCGCCTTATGGAGTCTATACCACGACCACCGCGAGTGTGCTGTCAACAAGTAAAGGTATATAACCCCCTTTTCTCTACAAAAAATGTATTTCAAGGGAAATGCGAATGTTGAGCCAAATAAAATATCTAAGTGACAATATTATTTTGCTACATAAAGAGCAGAAAGCAGTAAAAAAATGAATTAATCACCAATTCAACATGTAGTTTGCCATCAATACCTCTTGTTAAATATCCAAATGATAAAAAATGAATATATTTAGTTCTTTTATGATGCGTGGCTCAGTAGTTAGAGCGTCCGCTCTAGAGTCGCGAAGTAAGAAGTTGATTCTTACGTCGCGGGTTTGAAATACACTGTTGGAGGGAGTGGTTCTTTGGATGACACCGGATAAAGCGATGTCCCGGGTTCGCTGTAGGTGCTGGCACGAAAATGAGATCCCTCATTGCCCAATGGCCTTGAGTGCCGTGTATAGGGCAAAATTTGTACTTCTCCACCGGCAAGTGATGGCGTATTTATATAAGTGAAAAAACATTTGAGAGACACGATAAACAATATAAAATCAATCAAAACCTTTTTAAATGCGGATTGACATTATTGTATAGGGTGTAATATATTGCACGTTTTTTTTTAATTTGCTAAATTGTATATAAAAAAAAGAAATATTAATAAGAAAACAGAAACGACAAACTTTATTCTGCTATCTTTCATTCTGCATTCAGTGGTATATTAGTATATTAGTATATTAGCAACATGGTTGACACGGGTATTTCTCATGGGAAAATGTCGTTAATACATTTTAAAGGCCAAGCAAGGATATACTGCAAAAAGTATAGGTACGACGGTTTTCAAATAGTCTGTCTGTCATATACAAAATACTCATATGAAAGTGAACATGTACATATATATACTTGACACAACATATATAGCTTTTACCATGAAATTCTACATAAATCTTAAATTCATTGACGGTATGTATAATTCGTCAAAATAAAAAAAAAACTAGATGCTGTCATGAGACAGTAATACCCGCACTAAGGTGTTTGCTTCTAAATGCACACTTCTTCATATTGGGCTTTACCAAGGAAAAAGTCAATATAATTCAATAATTTACATAATACATGTATTCATCAAATTGAGCATAATATGCTTAGGTGACCATGTAGCTGCAGATCTGCAGCGTTATGGTTTTATATATTTGTCTTTGACCATAACGCTACAGATTCCCATATGCAAAAAAGGTGCAATTAACGCGCAATATTTTCTGCGCACTTTTGGGCAGAATTTCTCCACTTTCTAGCACTAGTCAATCAACTACCTGTCACTCCCTAAATTTAGACACATTCTGTAGCCAATATGTATATTTTGTCCACCTCCCAGCCTTTTATAGTCGTCTCTTCAGGCAATAAACTCGCTTGATGTGAATTTTCAGCAATCTAACAAATAATTTTAATCAAGCGAGTTTATCACGTGTAGAGACGACTATAAAAGGATTGGAGATGGATAAAATATACAGATTTGTTAAATAATGTGCCTAGAATTAGAGTGAAAGGTATTAAATTGACCGATGCTGGAAAGTGGAGAAATTCTCCCCAGAAGTGCGCAAAAAATATTGCGCCGTAAATTGCACCTTTTTTGCATTACAGGATCTGTAGTCAAAGACTAATATAGATTAAAATATTAATAAAATACTAATATAAAACCATAACGCTACAGATCTGCAGCTAGTGACCATGTGACCCATGGGCCTCCATACTATAGGTATTTCATATTTTTAATTCATTACTAGTCGGAAATTAAACAACAGAATTAAATTAATGATGTAAATTAGGCTTGATAAAGGGGGGGGGGTATAAATTTTTGGCACATAACTGGAAGTTTTTAAATCTATTTTCTCATATAGATTAACAACAAATAATATTATTCAAATTAGTGTAAAGCGTTTTTGATGAATTTGTTCAAAATAAGTAAAATTTATTTATATTTGATTAGGCAGAAACCCCTCTCCCATCAACACACACACACAAACACACCTTATTTGTCTGTTTTTGGAAATAGGCCTAGATGGCAAAGTTAAAATAAACCATCTTTTGTAAATGATAATTTTCAATTTGTTCTTACACTTTACATGCATCATATTGGGCTTGCGTCACGTATCCAACTGAAGTACTAGTTTTACCATTGGCATTATCATTTTAGATTTCACTGCACGTGCAGTAGGCTATACTAGTGTGCATCATTGAATATATGTCAGTAGGAATTATTTCATTTTGTGTCTTAACTGGATTATATTTCATGAAGATGACAGGGCTTAAATAATGACAATCGGTAAGTACAAGTTTTGGTATAGATTTGGGTAAAATAGTGTGAAATGCAAACGGTTAGGTTCAAGTTTAAAGGATCAAAGGTCATCCGATGCTACAATAGACGGATTTCACATTCTGAAGAGTTATCGCCCGTTATCAACGTTACATTCAGTTACAAGATCCAGATTTTTTTTCTGGGAGGGAAGGGGGGGGGGGGTTCCAGACCAGAATTTCCTGAGAAGCAAAAAAAAAAAAAAGAAGTTATGGTTTGGTCTGTTTTCTAGGGTGGAGGGACACTTAGGGCATCCAAAGACATTTTTATTTCCTCCAGTATATATTATAGTCCTGCAAATTCCGGGGGAGGGGGGTGTTGGTGTTGATGGGGCGATCTCCCAATCCACTTACCTGTCCCTGTAATGACAAATGATCATGTGACTCCTAAACAGTAGGAAACTTTTTCCATTTGACTATACATAATTTTGTTTCTTGTGTTATTATGTTATGTAAATTTAATGGCATAAAGGTCATGAATTAACCCCTAGAGGTCATCCCCACTCTCCTAATGAGCTGGAAATGTTCACAATATGACTGCATTAAATTAAATAAAAGTGCATCAATGATAAGATTACTTGACATTTTATTCATGAATTTGTGTCAACCTATCTTCCTAGAATTAGGAATGAGAATCATTCAGAGATGGACCACATTAAACTATTTGTATAAACATTTTTTTTTAAATGTAAAAACAAGTAGTATTTTACATACATGAACAAACAGGGGTCTGGGAAGGGGTGAGGGGAAGGATCGAGTTAATATTTCTTTATGTCTTAATGGTTGAAAACTCCTAAAATGAATGTTGACCTCATATCTAACTTGTCCTCATTATTTTTCAAGTGGTGGTGTCCCCATATGAGTGAAAAATTCCTGAGAGGGATGATTAACAACAAACAAAATGACATAAAAACACAATATTGATTTGCGTTAAGAAATATGCAGGGGATTTTTTCCATCATAAATCTTCTTCTCAAGAACAGCAAGGGCATTCTTGTCCCCCATTTTGGGGAAAGGGAGGGGACATTAAATCTCATTTGTCTGTCAGTCTGTCCATCTTATTGACAGCTAGTATGTGCATCTGTCACAATAAATTTAACCTTGGTCATAACTTTTGAATAATAAGAGATAGCTTTCATATTTCACATGCACATTACCACAAAACTTTCTAAATATACTATGATTTTTTAACCCAAGTGAGACCTTGACCTTAAAGTTTTACATACTTTCCAAAAAATAACATTTTAAATTGATTATTTTGAAAGAGAAAAGAAAGGGCATTCAAATTATACATGTTTATTATATGTGAAAAGACTTTTCTAAATATATAATTACTTTTGACTCTGTAACCTTGACCTATAAGTTTAACCTACTTTTCAAAAATATTATATTGTCTATATAAGTTTTGATTCGAAAGAGATAGGACTTTCATATTTGACATGTACATTACCTGCAACAAAATGTTTTAGAGCATGCTATGATTTTTCCCCTTTGACCCAATTTTCAAAAATTGATATATGATAGGGGTGCATATTTGGCACACAATCTGCCATAAATTATGGCATCCCATTCACTAAAACACAGAAAGCAGTCAGGACCACAATTCTTTGAATTTGCTTGTATAATCTTGATAGATGGAAACATCCTCATATAATGTAGATTAAAGTTTTTTTATGCCACACCATGATTAAGAATACATGTATAGTTTTTGTCATGTCCATCCTCCACCCTTCCATCTGTCTTTCCATCGGGCTCAAAGAAACTTTCTAGATATTTTTATCAAAGTTCATATGTTGATGCATACTGATGTAAATATCCAACTGCAGCAATATTTTTTTTACTTTGACTTTTCCTTTGACCTTCACTTAACTTTTCTTTAAATTAGTGTTTAGCTTTATTTTAAAGAAACCATTCAAGTTGTGTAATGAAACTTCACATGATGATACATACTGATGTAAGCTTTACAATGCTTCACTCTTTTTTACCTTGACCTTTCCTGTGACCTTGGCCTCACTTTTCTAAAATTAATGTCTAGATCAGTTTTGAATAAACAATTCAAGATATATTTATCAAACTTCATATGCTGATACAAACTGCTGAGTGCAATAAATACATCAACTTATTTTGACCTTGAATTTTCCTTTGACCTTGACCTCACTTTTTAAAATATGTGTTTATCTAAGTTTTAAAAAAGACATTAATTATAGTTTTATCAAACTTCATATGCTAATAGTAAATTCATACTAATGTAAGATTTTCAACTGCAACAACATTTTGGCAACAACCTTTTCTTTGAACCTCTCTTTTTTTAGA